AAATTTAAGCTCTGCTGGGAAAAAAAAAATGCAGCTGTGCATGAAAAAGCAGGTTACAAAAAGAATAATTATCATATGAATGGACAACCTTGCAGGGCTCACATAACTCCTGCATAAATCTAACCTTGTTTGCTAGTGCTTTATGATTCCCTGAGAAAAGCAAAGCAGGTAGCTGTGCTTCAGGGAATTATTACCACTATGGGACTGGGTAGCATAAGCAGATTGTGCTGATGGGAAGACTGGCAGTGCTCTAGGAACACTACCATCGAGGAAATGCCTCCTGATAACCTGTTATCTGTAGCATCAGCATGATTATCTTTTCATAGAAGAACTGGGAATGTGGCCTTTGTGCCATTATACGAAAAGCCAGCTTGAGAAGGAGCCAGGCAGTGTCACCTCTGCCTCAGAGCATTCAGCACCTGTTAAAGACATTGAAGGGAAAAATGGTCTTGACCTTACTTTATAATTTAATTTAGTGTAAATGAACATTTTTTCCTGGATGCATCAAGATGACCCAGACCAGTTATTTTATTTACCAGGTCACTATTCTTTGAGACATTACTATTCCTTGTTATAAGAACAAACTTTAAAAAAGCTTTTAAAAAGTCACATACTAGGACTGTACTGAACACTGCAGAATCTCAAGACAGATTTGAACACAGGAAACCCACAACTGTGGGGACCATGCCTTATAGGATATCTTCATTCTCTATCCAGCAGTAGGCTACACGCCGGAGATACAAGGAAATGCAAGGAAAGTTCTGCTGCACTCCCCAGCAAATTACCACTCAAGGCCAGGATATTTTTAAACTCACAAATGTTTGACAAGTGAAAATTTATTTACTTGACAAGTGCTAAAGAAGCTGTGGAGAAAGTGACCCCATTCTACACTGCATGGCCAAGAACTCTCTTGCTTTATTTTCTAACCCTGTCCAGCTTCCAAAAGGCTACTGCAGGCTTGCTCAGCACATCAAATTTGGCTTACCCACCTCAAGGAGACAGAGAGTTGTTACACACCAAATGCTCAGCACACTCCAATTTCAGTGGGCTTGGTCTGAAAGTTCAGCAGTGTTAGAGGTGAAACCAAAATCAAGTTCCTTTACTGAAGATTTTTGAGTTCCATCTCTGACAAAGCTTCAAGGAAAGGGTGTTTTAATTTTTTAATCCCAGTGTATCTGTTTCTGAGGACAACAGAAATATCCAATCTGGCTTTAAAGAAAGCTGAGAAGGCAAAACAGACCATACAAAGCTCCTTGTTACCAAATACCAAGCTACATCTGTGACCAAGTTAACTTGTTTAGAGATAATTTGTTTGGGAATCTGGCTATTGTACTGAAGATACAGTCAGAACCCTACCAGAGAAAATTTTTGACTATGGAGGTCATCACAGTACAAAGGAGATGAAATCCATTTCCTAGAACCCACTTGAGGAAATTAGCAATTAAATCCGCTCCAAGTCCAATGATTTATCCTTCAAGTCCCGTTCTCATAGCCAGCAAGATCTTTCCAGCACTTCAATAAAACAAAACCAACCACCCTTTTCCTAACATTTCATTAAGAAGCAAAGTTCCCCACAGAGCCCACCGGGCTGACCAACACAAAAGACTAGGAATTAAGCCCAAGAAGTGATGCTCAAATTGAGGTCTGAGTGTGAGCCACAGGATGTGGCGTTCTGCCTTTTTTGTTTGTTTGCTTCCCCAAAGCAGCAGTGGAAATTCAGTCACCATGTCTACAGCAATACAAGATTTTCTTTCCATGATGGCTATTATCAATTTTATCAGAAGCTGACATGAACTGGATCGACCAAGATGTGTATCTGCAAGAGATCTATACAGGCCAAAATTTCAGACACAATGCTCATTTTCATCCTCACTCATTCATGGGAGAGGCTGGTGTGAAACATCCCACGCCACAAATTCTCCAATGCCCAGAAGATGTGACAGATTCACCACTGTCAAATATAACACCTCCATCAGTCAACGCTCCACTGGACAGGTCACTTGTAATTGAATGGGAGCTCCAGAAGGAATTTTCCAAAAGACAGAATCCAGAAGTTTACTTTACCTCCAATTCCAACCAGTGGCTGTGCTCCAGTTTGCAGCAAACACTACTCAGAACCGTGTGCCATGGGAGCTTGTTATCTCACCATGTATGTGTAAGTCTACTCTTCTTTGTCTTTTCAGTATATCCAATAAAGCACTGATTTGTATCAACCACTTTTTGTCAGCATTTTCTTTCCCAGCGTTGAGTTGGCCTTTTCTTCTCTGCTGGCTCGTTCGTTCATTTATTTGCCACTTTGCCCAGCCAGGAGAATGTCATTCTCTGAATGAATATTTGGTGAATGCATGCTCTTAATATTCACAGCCCTTACTGCATGGCCCTCCTGAAGCTGCTTAAATGCTGACTAACATTTCCCTGACTTTACCCCTGAGATCAACTGCACTGAGAAGGCAGCACAGGACAGATTTTCCACTTCCAGCTGTGCCAATATCTACAAGCCACTTGATTTTTGCCCAAGTCATTGCCCCAATGACTTGTCTATCAGTGGATATCACAAATTCAAACTTCCCCCCACATGATGTTTTTTTTCCCCACACAGGTAGGTTTAGAAGGACTTCAGTTGTAAGGAAAGAAGTTGCTCAGAAGCATTCAAGTAACAACATTTTCCAAGAAGCAACTGGAACAGAACTCAAAACAGTTTCCAAGGAGCAACTGGAATCCCTCCTTTGTTGCCCTTCTCTTGCAGGCAACGACCAGCAAGGAAAACTAAGATATGATAAACTACTAATGGCACAGGGCTGCTTATGTGGCAAAGCATTTGTGCTTCTGTCAGCTCATTCTGGCTGGAAAAACAAAAGGATCCTTTTTCTCTTGGGTTAACACACAGGGTCAGTTCTTTAATTACAACTATAATGGATTATATGTCGGTTTTCCCCCTAGTCTGGTACGCTTCCTCCTAAAAATCAGATACCTATATAAAGGAAAATCCCTTTCAGCTGGAGCATGTCCTGGATGTTTACTCAGTAAGGCATCCTAGTTCTAAATAAAAAAAAAAGCCTCTCAAGATTTTTGCCCCTGCAAAAAGTCAGCATAGTAAGAAAGCACACAGCAATATTCCTTTCAAGGAACCACGCTGCTTAATAATTTTACTTCTCATTTCTTCAAAGGGAGCATAAGGACTTTATGTAATCTAATCCTTTGAAGAATAAGATGAGCATATTTCCAACTAGATTTTCCACAGAAACCAAGTTTAAGCCACCCTACTGCATAAGCAGACCAATTTTTTAATAATGAGTTATGAGCTGTGAGGTCTGTTTCAACCAAAGTGACCACACCAGGTGTCACAGAGGACAAGTTGTACCTGCTTACCAGAAAACAGACAACCTTCCAGTTTCCTCATCAAGAGTCAGACTAGAGAGCATTCGATCTTGATTCCATATTCTATTCCTCAGCGCTGAGACAAAAAACCAAGGAAATTCAAAGCACTTCTCAAAACAGGCCAATGCCACCTTCCACCATACATGCATGATTTCTCAGCAACACCTGAATGCTTTGCGCGTGTGCATGTGTTCCTCATTTTTTTCTTTGTGCAGATCTCTGCTTTTTTTGTTTCTCTGTGTGTGTGTGTTTGTCCTTTTTCTGAGGAAGGAGAGGTTTGGTCAAGTTAATTATCCTCTGCTTTTTCGTGTGCCCACCATTCAAAGGAAATCTGGTATAACACCATCCCACAGATCATCATCGTATTAGTGATGACAAGCAGCAAAATCTGGGCTCTTTCACTCATTTGTGTTTCCCACAAGCTACAATCTGATGCAAGCTGTTTGTGCTGGACTTGGCTCCATGCAGCACACTATACAAAATCTGTTCCTGTTTCTACATTGTTTGGCATGCACCTGAAAACATTTAAAAGAAGAATTTAACTGCCTTAACTGTGCTGTCTGGTTACCATAACACTTTCTTTTGTTTCTAAAACCCACACATGTCCAAACCCTCTGAACTCACTATTTATGTTAAAGCAGCTGCAGTGTATTAACTAGCTGTGTTTACTTATTTTGCCTGTATATAACTGTTGTCTTGAAAAATCTTTTTTCTTCAATTTATAGCTCCTTCATATAGATATACTGCCAACATAGCTAATCAATTTACCTCTGGTTCTATCTACACAGAATTAATTTTCCTTCCTCAAACTAAGGTGCTCTGTAAAATGCACAATTTTGCTGTTATGCTGGAGGGAATAAAATACACAGTATTGCTGAAAAGTGAAAAAGGCTCTTTTCCTTTTTTAAGTCATGCTCTTGCAATGCAGTGGTCGCCTCAGTTTTGGGACACTGGAACACTGTGGGCTACTATTTTAAAGAGTCAAAACCTTGAATAATAACCAGCCTCTGAATTGACTTCCACCACTTCAATGCAGAATGCTGTTATATTAGCACTCTTACACCCTTCTTGACAGCACAAAAGCTTCAGTTCTGTCAAGAATTGCTGGGAGAGAAATATTGCCCAAGCCCTCAAATGACCACTCGAGGCCGATGGCATTTATTCACCATCCAAGGCTCCCACAGAGCTTAAAATGAAAAATTTCTATCAGAACAGTTGTGATTGTTTACAGTGTCACTAAACCACTGAGCTACTTAGAATCTGATATCTTGCCTCCAACCTCAAGCCTGGTTGCCCTAGGCAGAGTAGATTACACTGTTGTCAGAACACTGCTGTAGCAGTGCAAACACACCTCCTAAAAAAGTGATATGGTCTCAATGCCCAGATGTGCTGAAAAACAAGGAGGGAGGGAAAAGAAACTTTTCATCATAGTGTGGAAATTCTCCAGAAAGGAGCCCACAGCTCTGCCAGATTTTTCAAACAGATACTGCAGAACAAAAGGACACTGGAAACTTAAAATATGCACAGCCTTTATGTCTTAGAGGCAGCAACTGCAAGGAATGATGCCATGGAAGGCCAAAAAAAATCAGTTACAAGGACACAAAAATACCCAGACCCATTGATCAGTGTACATTAGGTATATTTTTATTTACAGAGTAGAGATGCCTAATCAATTATAAGGTTAGACACCAAATAATTCAGATCCTTTTTTTTGTGTAAAAGTATATAAATATATACATAAAATTCTATGAAGTAAACATTAACTGTGATACAGTTAACATTCACTACTATCCTTATGCTAACAGGCATCTCTTAAAGCTTTAATGCTGATTTCAAGATACCCTCTATAAAATAGCTCTAATTGTACTAGAAGGGCAAAAATTCTGTGCCATGAACAAGCTTTCAAAAGAGACTAGTAAAAAGTCTTTGTAATAAAGTTTACAAGATAAAAATACTGCTTCATCCCTCCCACTTCCCCAGCCTGAAAGAAACAAATACCCCAAAGCAGTTGCAGAACTGCAGGAAGTAGTATAGAATTACTTTTTTTCTTCTTCATTACTTTTCTTTTTAAATTAAAATATTTTTATTTCTGTATTTTATGACATATTAAGGAAGCTACAAAAAATGCAGCTTTATTAAATATTGTTATACAAAAATCTCACATGGGCATCCATGGGGCTGAAGATAACAGTGGTATTGTATGAGCTATCCCTTTCCCTTAAAACTATATACGTTATTTGGAATGATGGAAAGACTTCATAGAAAAGGCATTGGACAGCAACTGAAGAAAGGGATTAGAAAACTATTGGCAAGACAAATAAAATGCTCCAAAGCCTCTCAACCTCCTTGCTTCCTTATTTTAAATGCACTTCTTCAGTGTTTTATTTGTCTCTCTGTTTTTCTTCATCCTGGAGTTGGTTCAGGACATAAAGGACAACTTGATAGCAGAAAATGTACTGATCCTGTAAGGAAAAGGAAATTACAGAACATGTAAAAAATGCCTGCACACCTAAGTGCTCTCACTTGCACTTCACAGCTGTACAGCACTTTCAATACTAATTATACTATTAAAGAAAACCACCATCACCAAATCCCAAGGAAAACAAAAGACCCCAAACAACAACAACAACAAAAAAACCAAACAAACAAAAAAGGCCACAGTGGAAAAATATGCAACCTCAACTTAAAAAAAATATAGACGCTCCTCTGCCACTAAAGATATATTTCATATGGGACATTTATTTTTCTTTCACACCAAAACCACCTAAAGGAGACTAGGCACTTTACATAAGCAGAAATGAAGACAGCAAGTGTATTTCAAGGACTTGCATCAATGCCAACTAATACTGATGGCTGTCCCAGAGGACAGTGGAACTTCTTACCTTAATCTGAGTGATAGAGGTGTGGGGGCTGATAGATGTTTTGGGGTGTGAGGTAGGGATGGGCTGATAGTTTACTGGTTTGATTTCAGGGTTTTTTTTTTTTAACTATGACTTCACAATTCTTTCCCATTCAAAGAAAAAAGTGCAGATTTTAACAAGACCTTCTGATAACCATCTCTAAAGTTAATTAGCTCTAGATCCAGATTATTCCTAAAAGATTGAACTTCTGGCTGAATATATTACCAAAAGAGATCTCAAGACATATCATTGATTCCCAGCAGCTACAGTTAGGCTTTCTCTTCAGTCTATAATGCAACTTTAAACCAAAAAAGCTTAGCTGACCCCCCTCTATAAACGCATGCTTTTGAAGATGAAAACTCACATTTTTTTTTTTAAACACAGATCAAAACAACACAGCATGTTAAAAATGGCTTGTGTTTATAAATGTTAGACACATCCTGCTACTCATCTGATTCTTGTGACACAAGTGTCACATTACAGTGCACAAAGACAATTGCTGTGTGCATCATGAAGCTCTCTGGCACTTCAGATGGTTCAGTGAAGGCCTGGGGAATCCAGACTCACCTCTGTCTGAACCATTCCGTGTCTCTGCAGACGCATGGTGCGCACCAGGTCCGAGATGTCGAACTACCAAAACAAACAGCAAGTTAAACATTCAAAAAAGACAGACATGCAGAACAAAGGAACATCCCCAGCATCAAAACAGGGAATGGGATTAGGTACATTAGTAATGAAATGAATAATTCACTGCAGCCTATGTTTATCTGGTAGGTAACCAGCATGTGCTGTCTCTGGGCAATCTGGATGTGGCCCTACATCAGACACTCCCCCCTTTTCTTGTGCTCTTTCTGTACACAGGCCTTCTTGCTTATTCCAAGCTAAGCATGCAGAAAATAAAGTTTCAGACATTCAGAGGGTGCTTAGAAACTCCACTGAGCTAAGCATGACATAGCTCATCTTCTTTAGAAATTCACCACAGTTTTGCTACCCTAGGCTGCTGAAGGACATAAACATAAGGGAGCTAGCACCCTCCTGTGGATTGTCCTAGAAAGCAATCCTTGGTTGTGTTGGAAAAGTTAATTTACACGCCCCTTCCACCAATTGCCAAAGCCATCATGGCAACACCATTTTTCCCATGCCATGTGCCAGAAGTCCAGAAGGTAAAAGATGACCTTGCAATATACTTCAAGTGGCCTGGCTGCTGAGGTTGCCCGAGCTAACCCAAGGGCCACGGGGATATTAGAGCTCTCCCCACTTGAGATCACCAGCAAAGAAACATAATACTGCCAACAGCATGGTACACTCTTTAAAAGATTGCATCGATTCAGTGGAACACACTTCCTGCAGGTCAGGAGCACTACTGGGCCCATCCCATGGATACTCACATCGAGGTCTCTGCTGATGAGCCCCAGGACCACGTCTATGCAGATGAGGGTGCCTGACCTCCCGATGCCTGCACTGCAGTGGGTGATGATGGGTCCTGCCTTGTGGACCTGCCGCATGTAAGAGATGAAGGTGAGCAGATCGTCTGGCTGCGAGGGGGTGTCGTGGTCAGGCCAGGCAATGAAGTTCAGGTGGGAAATGTGCCGCACTTCACCTGTCTGAGGTTCAAAAACAACACCACCGTTTGGCTTGTGGCAAGAATAAAAAGAAAGAAATTGAGTTTCCAAAGAAAAGTCTCAGAACAGAGGGATATGCCCAGTGAAGGTGCTTTGTAATTCAATACGAGAACTAAACTGGAAATAACTAGTAAGCAATTTAAATGTGTAAGGTTCACTGTGCAGACTGAGCTGATCACACAGAGGAGTCAACCAGCCAGGCTGCATTATTAGTGAATTCATATCCCTACATATATTTCTGTGGCCAATGGGAGCCAAAATTTAGAGTCTCATTACTGTAATGAAATCATAGCCTGGCCCAAAAGCTTTTTCCTATAAAGGTCACAAAGCAGCACAAGCTGCCATGAAGAACATCTGCCCGGTAATGCTCACTAGGCAAAGAGGAGAAGCTCTGGGTTGCCTCTTGATGTAGACAATGGAAGTGAAAGCAGGAAAGCCAGAAGTATAAAGATAAATATGGCAATACTCAGAAAAAAACTCCAAGCGTGCAGAATTAGATTCACTCACCTGAATCTCTTCGAGCTCCAGCACTCTGATGATGAAGCCCTTCAGCTGCTGAAGTCTCACAAGAGCCAAGCGTAGTCTGTCATTTATCATGGTGGTTTTATTGAGCACATCTGGCCAGTAACGCTGACACTTTATCTTTTCTCCCTCGACCTCCTGAGTCATCATGGCAATCACAGTACAGTTTTGTTCCCAAACCATTTGCCAGAAATCTGCTACAGTAGTAGGAAGAGGTCCTTGGCATGCAATGTAAACGAACTCCTCATTCCCCACGGGCATGCGAATGAAGCTGGCATTGATGTATCCACCTTCAACCCCGAGAGGGACTCTGGTGGTGTCATCTGTCATCCCCACACAACAGAAAGACCTCATGTTAGGTGTGCATGTCATCAGACCTTCAAGCAATACAGCTGCTGAACCTTACACACTCACACAGCACTTATCTCCACTGATGCTTGCACAGCTTGCTTTAGAAGAAATAAATCACTTAAATACATAATTTAGGACACCAATCAGTACTTTTAATAAAGAAAAAGATGTCTGCAGGAGAAATATAAAACAGCAGACAGGTGGGATAAGTGATTTGAACTCTGAAAAACAGAGGCTGAGCTTTTCTCACATAGAACTAACCTCTGTCAGTTTTTACTTCTCAACACCTAACAAGCAGAATTTTATGGCAGGAAATTTACTGACCATAGTACACATTTCTGTTTTTCCAATTCTGCATGGGTAAAACTGAAAAAAACCTTGTCTGGTTGCACATGTATACATGATTTAAGACATGCGACCTGCTAAAACAACTGAAAAGTCTGTGAACATCCATCCCTACATACCACAGCACAGTAATATATTGTTCACTGATCAAACTGCTTTATAAATGCTTGCTTTACTTTCATCCTTACTAGGATTAGAAATCAAACCACCCCCATCAACCATCTTATCCAATCCATCTGACCATACAGGCGGTGGCAGAATGTCAACTGTGAATTTCAAATGAGTTAGGACTTACAAGGAAGTATGTTTTTATATCTGTTCTTTCTCCTGTTCTCCTTCGCTTGTCCAACCAAACACTGATCCAGAGGTTTTAACTCCTGAAGGTTCTGTAAAGAGGTAATTACATGTCCATTGGGAAACAGTAATTGGTAATAATAGTAAGAGTGGTTATGTTATCAAGTCACAAACAGAATAATTAAAAATTAAATCCTAATGTGGATATGCAAAATAATGCAGTCACAGGAAGGAATCTTCTACACAGCCAAGAAAATGAAATTAACAAAAAAAACCCCAAACCAAACCCCACACACTATCAGTAAATATTTTATCTCATTCTCTCAAAAAAGAGATCATGTAGCATGGCTGACTTAAGACACTGAAAAAACTGGTTTCACATTCAGCAGCTGGACTTCACAGCCTTTGTCTATGCCTGTTTACATTATTCACATGGTAATTTACCAGAAGGAAGAATGATGTAAAAAACACTTATGTACTGAATTCAAACTGATCTCATCTCTCAGCAGCTTGTGGGAGAAGGGAGAGAAGTCTTTGGTGTCAAGTCTTTTCATCTCTTTTGAGCTTCCAATTAAAGAGCTGTGGTATTCAAGGCAGTGATGATCCAGCCATTCTATTTTTGTTTCATAGTGGAAAAAGGACTTTAAAGGACAAATAGTTACTCACTTCAATCTCTTTAGAAGGGACTCCCTGTTCCAGCAATCCACGCAATATCCTGATCACTGACTTCAATTTGGCTCCTGAATATTTGCCTCCAGGGAGCACATTCACCGTAGGGAGTGCAGAGATCTCTTCATTTGTCACTAGGGGGAAATCTAGCAGAAGATATAAATAAATAGGTAAAATCAGGGAAACATAAACTGTAGCCCACAGTTGGATTTGCATGTTGCTGTTCACCACTGCACTGCCTGTTTTCTTTTGAATGCCTCCCTACACAGAGAGAACACACAGCTCTCCTCTTAGTTTGACAGGCAAAAGCAAATTAACTAGCAAAACCAGTAAGACAAAATCAGCTCTGATGAATCCAGGGAGTATTTTCCTGAATTTCCAAGAAATACAGATGTCAGAACTCAAAATGTCCCTCAGACATTTTCAGAGGTTCCAGGCCTTGGTCAGAAGCATTTTAGACCCTGACAGGCAGCTGAAAACAGCTGTGATTTTGAGTTTGAGCCATGGAATGAGTTACCAACTTTGAAGGTGGAACAAGCAGTCACAGAGAGTTAGATGGTATAGTAAAAGTAGTTACAAATTAGAGGGGAAAATTTTTTAGTATTGTACGGGGGGTTTTAACACCTGTACAGGGGGGTTTTACTTTGTACAGGGGGGTCAGGAGTTCTAAGATGGAGGAAAGTGGGCCTGATCCTGTTCTTCCTCCTTCTTCTTCCTTACCTCCATGTTCTTGGTGATGTTGGCACTCACAGATTGGTTTAGAGTAGAGGAGCACATTGTAACATAGATAGTAGGAATTGGGGAAAATCTGTAAACATATAACACGTAATATACCATATAAAAGATAGCAGCAGCCCTGGGCAGGGAGAGAGACGACGGAGACACCGGACAGTGAGGGTGTCAGGAGTGTGTGTGTCTCTGCCTGGGCCGCTGACCTAGGCAGCTGCGGCGGGCGAGGACAATCTTTTAGATAGCTAGCAATAAACTGCCTTGAGACCGAACCACAAGAGGCTGCGGAGTTTTTCTTTGGAAGCTCGGGTTGGAGGAGAGACTTTACCACCACACGAGAGCCCCAAATCAATCCCGGGGTTCTCACATACATTGAAATGAACTTCAAGTACATTTTAAATTTAAGTTCTTCACACAATAACTTACAAAAATGTATGGACACACACAGGGATAATTTAGAACTCTCCACGTTACAGCCTGTGACTTGTTTTTAGCACTAATACTCAACATGTATACAGCACATCTTACAATTATCACTTGGAAGGATATTGTTTTTTTCCAATACAGCTTGCTTCCCATCAGGCCTTCAGTGCTTCTCTGAAGCACAAAAAATTCATAAACCAAGAATCTCTCAGGTATTACAATTAAAAGTGTCCTAAATCTACTGACTTAGTCTGAAGTATCCTTTTTTCTTTAAATGAATACAAAGGACTGCTGTATATGGACTTCAGGAACTCACATTTCTAATGCTAGCTCAAAAAAAGGGAAGACTAAATTCTGCCAAATACATCAAACTGTACAGATGCCACTGTGCCACACTGAGCAGCACAGGAAGAGCAAAGATAAATGTAGTGCCTAATCTGAGCATGGGGTAGCTGGTATGTGAAACACATGATACATCAGTCTAATCACAGTCAAACATATATTTATTGTTACAGCTTTTGTGAAGGAGATACTGAGGAAGGAAGTATCTCAGATGGTCTCAACTTTCTACAGCTACAGACACAACATTGCCAATACTTGTTCCTATTAACACTCACACACTTACTACACAAAAATGTAGAGATCCTTCCCAGTGCATTGCTGAGCTGTTAGAATCCCCCTTATACCTTGCATGACATCCTTGAAACATATCCAGGATGTCTCAAAATACACTTCTGTTTATATAATGTGACCCTGAAGTTTTCCACTGATTATTGAAAATGTCCTTGCCTTTATTCACACGCTCCTGGCTGACTGATTCAATTGGCAGCTCATCGCTTCCCCACGTGATCTCCTCCTCATCTGCCTGGCTCAAGGAAGGTTGTGGAGGGGATCTGTAAGAGGACAAGGTATGGAAGTAAGAAATAACACCTAGAACCAACACATTTGCAACCTTGTTAAAAAAAAAACCCACACAAACCCCATCAGAAAGTAATTTATAGCTACAATTATTTCTGGACTGGACCCCTGTACCAGTGATCTCAAAATCCTAACTTTTGTGCACCCTCCTTTTTTTTTTTACATCCCCAAAGGGGATTTGAAAAAAGGTAACAGTGGAAAAAGAGTCAAGAATATACAAATCTAGTAATAACTACTATTGCAATTATTTTTCAAAGGCTAAGCAATTGAATAGCATCCAACAGCATATTTGTACCACTCATACAATTCACTACATCTGAGTATCTATTTTCAATTGCAAGTTTTCTAGCTTTGTTGAAGATACTGATGAATGTATTAAGTATTTTAGGTTATGACGTCACTGTTTGCTCCAAGTCTCGACCCCAAACTTCCTACAAGCTTAACAACATAAAACCATATACATTTTCACTGAAATTTCACTTGGACTAAAATTATTACACTAAGAAAAACAACCTTGGGAGTATCTAAAGTTCAAAGTGGTTCCCAGGGACAGCTAGCTAGTAACTTGTTCAGTCATATGCTTCATGCTCTGTGGAAAAAATAGTAAGCCCCAGGCATCCAAATGGGAGCTGATGAAGCAGAGGAACTCTACACTTGAGTTGCAGTGGTCTAAAACCAGAAGATGTAACACCAATAAAGCCTGTCTAGATTCAAACTGAAGACAGCATTGATTGAATGTTTTCTTCATATCCAAGTACCAAGTTGTTAGCACAATGCAAATTATGTTATTTGGAGACATCTGAACACAGTCCAGTTACTTGCTACAACCATGTATGAAAGGAACAAATAAAAGTAGGGTGTAGTAAACCACATAAAGCTGACTAATATTCAGGAAAATTACAACTTTCAAAGTAAAGAATAGACCAAGAGAACAATTCAACAAGATATTGCACAGATATTTTATTTGGTTTATTTCAGGGGTGGTTTTTTGGTTTTTTTGTTGTTTTTCTCTCATTCCAACATATTACACTTCAGACTTCCACACTTCACAGGTTTGCTTTCAAGCAACACTAGAAAAGAAATCGTACCTTTCTGGCACAGCTTTTACTTCACAATAGTCTTCACAACCATTTACATGTGTAGCCTAGAAGAAGTATTTCAAAACAAATTAAAAGACACAGTTGCAATGTTCACATACTGCAAATTTTAAACAATTAACAATTACAGGGACTATTCCTGAAGGGTACTAAGTTCAAAGCAGTACATAATAGAAGACTTTCCTCTTTTAGACATCTCATTAACCCAAAATAACAGAGGACGAGAACACTGAGCACTTGGAAAGATACTCTACTGTAACAGGGCCAAAAAACTATATTAAAATCACTCCTGACTCACAGCAGCAGTAGAGTCACCTAAGATTTCCACAGTTGGCTTTTTTGTTTCTAATACGTAGAAACCCTTTCTGAGCTAAGATTGATTGTGAAAACTTCTGCCTCAGAACTGTCAAGCCACAGTTCCTATACTGTGGATATGTAACATACCTCTAAATGACACACACTCCTATTCACACCTTCCTCAGCAGACAGTGAAGACTCAGCATAGAGGAAGGCATTTCCATCCTTCTTTCAATAAAAATTTTACAAATTCATTTATACTTTTTAGGCCAACTTGCTTTTCCACTGCCATACTGGGACAGTTTTACTCGCGGCTCTCCCTAGAGCACATTGACACAAAGCCAGATTCCTGATTTGATTTTCAGCTCTACTAACTGGACAGAAAGCTAGAAGAGCCAGGATGTGCTGGAGAGACAGAGTTCTGCTGATTTGAAACAAGAGACAAAACCCAGGCATCCAGTGACTGATGTAAACCAGGACACAATAACATAGAGTAAACCACATATAGAAGTTATTCAAGCCAATGAACTTACTCTAGCAAAATGCAGCAAGAAATTTTAAACCCACATTTTGGACAGTAAGGTTTACACAGCATTTGTTTTCACTGTGACTGCTTCCCTTCTTTGAGCAGGAATCACTGAAATCTTTTAGATTAAAAAGCTGAAGTAGCATTAACAAAGTAGTTCATTACCACTCTTTTTGAAGAAAAAACTAATGGACTTGTATGATAGTGTAAAATAACTTTATGTTTTGTTCTCTTACATAGGTAATTCACGATAATCATATGCTATTTAAAAATAAATGTTTGCACACCACTTAAAGCTACTACCTACAGTGATGTTCTCATTTAAAGGACATGTAATGTTATTTCTACCAATTCTATGCCAATAAGGAAAAAAATTGAAAGCACTTGCCAGTTTCTTGCCATCCTACCTCTGAAAAATCTTCAGGTAAAGATGACCCATCACAGTCTGTGTCCTCAGACTTATCTTCTGTCACCCTTCCATTCATCTCTACTGAACAGGAAAATCAGGGGATACAGCATAAACACACCAGAAAATGCCTAGGAGCCACCCTCTCACAGATGTGAATCCTGTTCCACCTGTCTGGCACTAGACAGGGAATACAGGTGCCAGACTAACCAAGAAACACTTTTTGAGGCCCTCTGCTACCAGAGTACTGGCAAAGAGTTCTTACTATATAGGATAAACAGACTTTAGGTTTCTTTATCTTACAACTTGAACAGCTGTCATGTTGTGTGAGGTTGTTTGCACAGAATATCTGTGTCACAGCATAACTGATGGACAGGCTGCAGCTACTAAGTTATCACATTCCCCATGCCAGTGTTTTTTCTGCAATTCAGTTAGATTTAGAACAGCAGTAGGTCCAAACCAGGATTCTACTCACTCTTTGCATTAACAAAATGTAATTAGGACATTCCATATAAAATCTGACTTGCATCTGTCTGCTATAGCATACTCTAGCTATACTCTGAGCATATGCTATAGCATACTCTGCTATACCCTATGGATTCAATTTATCTTCAGTCACAAAGGACAGCCTACAAGAAACTGGAAGTATTTGAGCTCCAGTGATATTCCTCAGCTGAGATCCTGGCACAGCCAGAACCTCAGTGATCTCTGACTTCTAATGCAATGACCAATGACAATAACCCAATGACCTTGTAGTCATGACATGAAATAATTACAATTTTGGAAGGTGTATCTAGAGTTTTAGAAGGAATCTCTACAGAAACAGCAAGCATCTTGCTTGAATTTTTGGAGCATGCATACATAGTGTGACACCACAAAGGAATTACAAATCCTATTCCTCACTACATTTGAGCTAATAACTAGTAAAACTGAGGAGATGGAGTGAAGCAAGAGAAAGGTATACAGTCAGAAGGAGGTACTGGAAAAAAGCCAACCTTTCTAAAAGAAACAAAGCAAGTTGGTAAATTGTTTGGTTTTGAGAGACCTCAACACATTTCCAAGTTGTGCAATCTGAAGCCAATGAAATGCTGAAATGCTTCAGCATGCCAACATGACTGCAGCTGCAGGACCAAGTACCCAAACAATAGGAATTTCACTCAAGAGACAACTCTAGAATAGGAATAATTTTCCCAGATTACTTAAAGCAAAACTCAGATTTTTCAAACCATAACCTCACCTATCACATTGCATTTCAAATTCATGGTAATCAGCAACTATTTGTTGGTATTCAACTTGGGAAACTTCCAGTTCAGATATCAAATCAATGTTAATCAACTCACTCTGCTGACAAATCTATTGCTTACTTGGCACCTTGTTTCAGTGTTTGCTGTCAGTGATGCTCTTTTCTAATGGCTCACGTTACCTGACAGGTGATTTTCTGATGCAGCCTTCTTGAGATGTAGAAGACTTTGAGCCTCTGAAGTCGCATTATTCTGATTTAAGAGATTCTGGGCTTCCTCGTCTACGACATCCAACAGATACTGGACAATTTCATTGTGGTCATCCTCATCATAATACTCATCATCTGGAGCCTCTGTTCCTGAAGACAAACAGTGCAAAATGACAAGTTTTCCCAGTACAAAATGGTTTGCAAGAACTAATTTAAAGGGGCAGACACGAGGCATTATTTCTAGCTGTTACCTTGGCCTTCCTTTATTTCTCTGTAACATAAATCCAATTTCTATAAATCTATTTTCAACATCAACTAACTCCTATAAAACAAAGCATGAGACTTGGAAAAGATCTTCTAAAAGTGACTGCCAGTCTAACATTTAATTATTTCAGCGTATTCAACCATGCCATGATTCTCTTGTGCTGGTACAATAGAGAACAATGCAGTCCCAATCTCACCTCCTCTTACCTGATTTGTCAATATGTTTAGGAAAATCTGACATCTGATTGGTAAATCCAAGGGAAGGTGCATCTTCTGCTCCTGAGAGGTTCATTAGCGCTTTTGTGTGATGGACATTATTTTCTGTATTTCCCTCAGAAGGTCCCAGGATGCCATTGCCATTGACCTGAGAAAGTAAAGAACACTACAAATTAACTCTTAAATAGCCTGGCAGCTTGTTGAAGCAACAAACAATCACTAAAAAGTTTTCACCTCTCCTCAGCAACAAATAAAACCTCTATTCATATCATCTGCAATATCTGGGTGATGGGTGGGACATTTCACATGACAAGAGCAAATAAAAAAAAATTAAAGCAACTAAGGAAAAAACCCACATGCTGATGAAGCAGCAGCTTCTACAAGAGAACACATGGTAGCATTTAACATTATTTTAATCCCTATAGAATGTATGCAAGCTTCAGTACTTTTGGTCCCACAACACAGCATTTCTAAGGAAGAACTAATGGGAAAAAAAGAAAGAAAATCACCTAGCAAATATAATATGAAAGTATCTGCAGAAACTGTGGGCTAAATAGAGTATTTTGGATAATAGCCTTACATCCTTCTTATAAGACAATTTGTCTTTCTACAAAGCAGTGCCAAAGAAAGAGCATCTCAATTAAAAAACCTTGCGTATTTATTATGATCACTGCTTATTCAGGTCATTTGATAATAGTGGGTTTGTATACTTTGATCACAAGATTGTTTCATTCATTTATTTAGTTTTAAAAGTGTTTGATGTAGATTCTTTTCTCTAGTTAATGGTAACAGGCACAAAAAAGGAGCATTTACCTTGGGCCCATAAGCATTAGTTGACTTCTCTGCTTTATCAAAGGGATCACCACAGGAACAACCTAAGCAAAAATGGGGAAAAACCAGCAACTTTTTCTCTGAAATTAAATTAGCCCCATTGATTATTTTTCTAAAATAAGCAAGGTATTTAAAACTATGTTATGACATGAGTACCCTGGTTTCTGTGCATTGCAAAACTTCTATCTGAATGACTACACTTCATAAAATGGCTTTATGAATTTTTTATTTAAAGGGATTAGAAAGCATGAATGCTAATACAAGTAACCAGCTCAAAGCAAAGAGAAATGTTGATAAATAGTTTAAACAACTTACAGTGGAAACGTGCACCTTTGAGAAAAGCACTGATTTCCTTTTTCCTCAAAATGTACAAGATACAACACCACAAACACCTGTCATTGACTATTTTTTTTAATGTAATATTATCTGATGTCTGGGTCCTTCTTCAAAGGAACCCTTCTGCTCTATATTAGAGAAAATTTGTAAACTAGACAAAAACTGACATCATAAGACATTATTGCTGAATCTCTTTTCATGAAGCTTTTAGAGGAAAGATCAAGTAAGCTCCTGTTGGAGCTGGTCACAATAAGCTGGACTAAGATAGTATCTCATTATCCATATCAATTTCTTTATTTTTATTTTTTCACTTGCTATGAGTAAGCACACAAATCTTACCATTAGCTTTCACTGGCCATGGACTTGAGTTCTCAGGGCTTTTGGATTTTGGGAACACTGCATGACCATCTCTGTGAAAAGAAATATTGACAGGAATATTAATAGGTAAATCAGAGTAATTATCAGCTATTGAAGTAAACACTACTACTGGTAAAAAAACTGCTAACCATTCCCAACCAACTTGGTGTCGTTTGCAAACTGAAGGAGGACACATCCAATTCCTTCTTCCAAATCAGCAATAAGGAAATGAAACTGCTCTGGCCCCAATACTGAGCCTTAGGGAAACCCCCCTAGCACCATTCACCATCACTCCCTCACTCCAGCCAGTTTTTAACCCAGTGAAGAGCATCTCTCTAAGCCATGGGAGAAAGCTGTGGGAGACAGTATCAGAGATTTCACTCAATCCAGTAGACACATCCAGAGCCTTTCCCTTATCCACCAGATGGGGAACCCAGTCATGAAAGTAGATCAGGTGGGCCAGGCAGGACCTGGCTTTCCTGAATACCTGGCTGGACCTGATCCCCTTGTCCTGTACTGTGTGGTCACACTCGAGGTGATCTCTTCCATAACCTTCCCTACACTGAGGTCAAGCTGACAGGCCTGATCCTCCTCCCAGCCTCTCTTGCAGATTGGAGTCACACTGGTCAACCTATAGTCCCCTGGGACCTCCCCACTGAGCCAGGACTGATAATGCAGATGCAGATGATGCAGAGTGTCTTGGTGAGTTCTCCTGCCAGCTCCTTGCATATCCTTGGATGAATCCCATCCATCCTCACAGACCTGTGAGTGTCCAAGTGCCACAGCAGGTCACTGACTAATTCCTCCTGGATTACAAGGGGTCTATTTGAACACATGTAGTTCGCAGCTGGACACAGCCTTGTGCTCCCAAGAAGCACAAAGCACAGCAAGTACCACATACCCTTGTGCTCCTTTGAAGCACAAAAACTCTGAATTTACAGACCCTTTCTGTGGAGTCAGTCTTCAGTAACATGTGGTGAATTTCCTGTCTTACCAGGAACAGGTTTTACTCATGTACTCATAAATACAATCATACAAACATGCAACAAAAAGTACAGGGAAGCCTTTTGCTTCCAGAACACACCTGGTCACTTTGAGCACCACTGTTGGAAGGCATGTTTCAAGCATTCTTTTGGCTTCTTTCAGAGTCATTCCTTGTGTGCTTACTCCATTAATGTAATGGATAATATCTAGTACATGGAGACTCTCCTCTCTGGCAGCAACCGATTTGGGGAGAATGTCACTAATGTACACAACTTGATAAACACTGTCATGGCCTCCTGATAATGACAAACCTTTGCAGGAAAAGAGGGGGAGAACAATAAAAATACAATAAAAATTCTTTGTAACTGAAGGGGAAGATTTTTCTTTAGGGCAAAAAGCAGATTAATTCCATGTTACCTAGCTCCTCCTTATGGCACATCAGTGTCATGTCAGGCAGCAAATGAGGCAACACTGGCATCTTTGGTAACTCCAGAACTCGCCCTAGCACTAATCTGACAGTCCTTGGGGCAGCTCGCAGAAAGTTGACTGCATCAGTATGGCTCATGTTAGTGACATCAATGTCATTAACCTGCAACAACAAAAGCAACACAGGTGTCCTTGTTAGGTCCCAAGTAAGACAGCACTACTGAGGAGGCATTTGTTGCTGTTCTCAAGTGCTCTCAAGTGTTCTCTGAGAGGCATTGAATCATGCCTCTCAGAAGGTGCGTATCTTTGTCCTTTAACCACATTTGACTTGGCCTACAACACAGTTCACTTTTTTTTTTTTTTGGACTCAAAGTTGTCCTTTTCGTGCAACCCCTGCACATGAAAAGATGAATTCTCTCACTTTTATGAGTCGGTCTCCAGGCCGTAGTCTCCCATCACTTTTGGCAGGATCCTGAACGATGTCATGAACGTAGCAGCCAACACTGTCGTTACCTTTGGTCACTGTAAAACCCAGACTGCCCTTTTCTGACTTTGTCAGAGTCACTTGGAGCTCTACTTCCTAGGGGGACAAAACAGCACTTTACAAGCAGGCAGACAGAAGAAATACAAACATTTTACTGAATTTAAGACAGCTGGAAGCAGACAACTGATTTACCTACTGATTAAATTGTGACACAAGCCTGGAACAAGACACATTTATCATCAGGCTCAGCTTAGTTGCTTCAAATAAGCATCTCTAATGAGTTCAGACAGAACCAAAAAATGTTTTGCATGGAAATAACATGGGGCTAAAAGTCTATGAATTGAACAAAATTTTGAAGGCACACATCAAAACTCACACCTTATTTTACCCTTACCTAGCTGCCACATGTAAGAAAGTCTCTATATTTTTTAAATATCTCAACACATCCATAATTATTCCAAACAAAATAAGCAAACATATTTTCCTACAGTGAGACATAATACCATAGAGCTTATCTTGAAACTGAACACATGCATATGTTTTGTCCATTTTAATTTGCATTAATTTTGATTTGAAAGATAGGGATCTGTCTCATTTGCATTAAAAAAATCACAGAGCACCAGGAAGGATGAAGAAAAACTTCTAAACAGGGGACTAAGAAAAATACAGTTTCTTGTCAAAAGGGAGTTTTGGTACTTATAACATGGAAGACCCTTACAACTGGGACGTATCAAGATTCAATTTCAATTATTTTCAATCTTTGAACAGATTATGTGAGGATATGGAAGTCCCTTCTCATACACAAGACATTTCTGTGGTGTCAAGCTTTCTCAGAAGACCTCAAAAATAGGCTCCATCTTGCAGCAGAACAGAAAGTCCTTGGGATTCATATTTATAAATGCAGCAAAGAACAGGGTCCCTTGATGCCTCAGTTTATTCTCTGACCTCTGAACAACCACCTAAAATTAAAAGAGCAGAGGCAAGGTATCTGCCATTTAAGCTTCCTCTGAGTATATGGCTGAAAGGTAGGTAAACATTTAACGCCAAGGTTTCCAGGATTAAATGACCCATGAAATGGGCATATACACATCCACCTATGTACACATGGATGCCTCCACATACAGAGGGAAATGTATCAACTCTTCAAGAGCCCACACAGGAAATACCTGCAGACACTGATATGAGCAGCTGCCATTGATTACAAATGGCAATGTAGCTGCCATTTATTAGGCACACACTCAGATTAGTGCAAGTATAACCTACAACTATCCCATTTGTAAATTAATGTGCCTAATTTATACCCACTCTCAAAATCACAACTGAAACAACCACAGCAGGACATTCATGCTCCTGAAAGACAGAAATAGCATATTACTGGCTCATATTCTTCAGCATTTTTGTCCAGCTGGGTGAGTAATGAATCTATTTCTCCCAGGTGTGAAGTCAGCTCAGAGACAGAAGTAGCATAACAGTCATTTATTAACATGGATGTCGTAACATCAGGTACAGTTCTACAGGTTGGGATCACTGGCAAATCCAAAGGCAGATCACTACAGATAAAGCAGAAAACAAAGAAAAAGCAGAATAAGTACAATGTGGCTGTCATTCATAAATTAATATATGAACCAAAGTTGATTTTATGCAGCTCTATAAAGTAAACCAAAAGAAGTATTTCTATTAATAGGTCCAATGAATTACTTCTATAAACATTTCTGCAGGATGATGAGGTTGATTACCAGCAGCATACCTGTCCTCCAGCTCTGCCTTGCTGGGAGCCTCCTGATCAGGATAGAGGATGGTGCGAACAGCGTCCTTCTGACCAGGGTGTGCCTCGTACTGACTCTGTGCCCGTGCCTCAGCTTCCCCTGAGCTCTGGTACAGCGCAGAACTCCAACCAAGGCCCACCTGGGCTGCTGACTCCATCATCTCCTCATCACCACTTCTGCTGCTGTCACTGTAGCTGTCTCTTCTGGAGGGAGATTTTAGCCTTTTCTTGCTCATATCAGTAGTTTCATTTTCATCTGAGCTGTCACCTTGTTCTCTGTTTGATGGACCAGAAACTTCTCTGCTGACCTCTGGAAAAACTTGTTGGGGAGAATGGATGGGGGTCTACAAAAGCAAAATCATTTAATTAATCATAATTCAGTACTGATGACAAAAGACAGTATCAAAGACTTCATTAAATTACCAAAAAATAAGGAGTTGGTGGCTACTGACTGAACTGGTGATACACATCATAGCACAGTTTCAAAAATTCAATGTAACTTGGCCAAGACGAAGTGTGCAAAACTCTGAAACTTACGCTGCTAAAATCCTTTAAATTCATCTAAGGAAAACAAAAATACTTTAGCTTCAGAAAGTGTACTGACAGAGGCTTTTAAACTATGCCCAGCAGTCTTCTATGCAGCTACCATGAAATCCCTTCCAACCAGAAGCTGAGGCTCACAGAGCTACTGAAGTCAAACCAACCTCACAGAGGAGGGAAACAGAGAAGCGGTCAACCAAAAAGCAAGAGTAACAGACTAAAAAACTAAAAAAAATTATGACCAATGATGACTGTTAACCAAGTTATTAACCACCATCAGACTGAATAACAATTTTGTCAATTGTCGCATATTCCCAGGAATTATGACAGCCAGCAGACAGGAAAGATTTAAAAGCTTCATTTATGCTTTCATGGACAGACTCTTGTGTACATGAATGCATCAGTGTGGTTTTCCTCTTCTTTTAATATGTGCACTGTTTTATTAAAATTCCTGTTAAAGTTTGATAAAGTTCTATTAAAGTTCCTGTTATTCCACAATACAAACAGGTCTATTATAGGAATAGTTATTTGTATAATTAGTTTGCTCAGTTGCTTATCCCTCACTCCAATCCTAACTTCACTTAAATATGTATTTGTATATTTAAACTGCTCTCATCAGACTTGAATGATTTTATTGTTTGAAAATAATGTTATAGTAACACAGAATCACAGAATCAGAGTATCCTGAGATGGAAGAAACCAAAAGGATCATCCATTCCCAATTCCTGGCCCTGCACAGGACAGCCTCAGGAATCACACCTTGTGTCAGAGAGCCTTGTCCAAACACTTCTTCAACTCTGGCAGGAACCCTGGGGAACTTAAATTGAAGACCTGTCTCCATTGGTTTTACACTTTTCTGTATTATGGAAAGCCTAATTTTCAGGCAATTTGTCCTCTACACTCTCTTTTCCTGAAACACATTTCATTTCCACTTCTTCAAAATGGCCTTCTGTTCTTTCAATTTATTTACTGGAGCATTTTGAAAATATTCTTTTGGACACCTCTAATTTCCAGGAGGTAAATATGACAATATTTTCCCTGTTTTTACATACATCAACACCAAATTGGTGTTTTGCAGAATATCCTTTTCTATCTGATACCAATTTCAAAACATTGGGATGCAAAGAAATCTCTGCTCCAGAAACACTATGTAAAACAAATTTCTCATGCCTTAGGTCAGAAAATGGAGGAAAAAAGCCTTTGAAGCTATACATTCCTTTAACATTCACACAAAACAGTGCACTACTAAGGGTTTAATTCCAAGAACCACATTTCTGTGAGCACTCTCCTCATTATTCCATCTGCATCTTGCATTTAACTAACACACCCACCCACCAGGTCAAATAAATGAACCTTAAATAGCAAATAATATGAAAAATATGCCATGCCAGACACCTCACCAGCAATGAAGGATCGATGTCTGGTAGTATTCCAGATGGTGGCCGGCAGAGGAGAAGAGAGACTTCTGGAGATGTTCCCCTCAGAGCAGAGATGACTTCCTATGGCCACAGAGGGATTCAGTGTCAGATTCAGACTTGCAGGACTCCCACACTATGAGTTTCACTAGTGTAGGTACAAACCTGCTGGGACAGACCCTTCAGTGATGCCCCGTTCACTTTGAGAATGACGTCCCCGATCTCTATCTGCCCACTCTCTGCGGCTGGCTGACCAGGGAAGAGCTTCTTCACCCTCACAATAGTTGATCCCAGCTGCTCTGGGGTCAGGTTATCCTCACGGCAAAAACTGAACCCGAGGCCTGAGCTGTTCTTCAAGAGTTTTACCTCAAATGTGTTCTCTGTAAAACAAACATTAACTTATTATTTCCTATAGCACATGGCCTTGGAAAGTGTCTGGTGCTCATATTCCAGATTATGACAATGTGCACTCTTCCCCTCACATGGCTCTTTCACTGAGTTGAACAGAAGTGTTACCCAAAAGATCCCTCCAGGTTAAAGAAGACAAAAAGCTGATCATGTCTTTTCTTTTCAGTCAGCTTGCTTGGCCTGACAACATCAATATGCAGGAGGCAGAGTGTCTGCAAAGGAAATTCCCTAGGAGGTCAATTAAGGAACCTTTTAAAGCACAGAGTAGCACAACCTTTCCAGCCACTGATCAGGCATTAGTGACAGCAGCAACTAGAGCTCCTGGCAGACAGGATAGAGCCCATGCAAGAAGACTCAAAGGTATCTGCAGGGATTCTGCCATCTGGGTAGGCTTCCCTTCAGTTGCACAAGTCAGCAGCAAAGAGGTTGAATTATGTCAGCCTCTAGTCAGGGGCACAAATCCTTCTCCCTTCTAGCTCTTGATGTCATTTTGCTTCTGAGACAGGAGCTGAAGGACTCACAGAAGCACGTATATTTATATAAATATCTACATTTCCTTTGGCACCCCTTAGCAGCACCAGATACAGCAGCACCCCCTTTACTCCAACCTTGCTACAGCCTTGGCATCTGGTGAAACTGGGAAACAACATGAAACAGTGAGAGAGAAAACAGTTAATAGTAGTTAACTGAGTCACTAAAGACGTGAAAGGAAGTCTTAAAAAGAAACACAACAGCACAAAAAGAGACTGTATTATGTGCAAGGGCTTGGTACAGATTCTTACTCACTCCATTCCCATCCTAAGAAGTGAAGAAAATATTATGAAACTACAGAATGCTTTGACAGTTAAGACAATTGTTCTGTGTGACCTGACCTGCAGTGACAAAGCTGTAATCTTTGGCATTTGAAGATTCTGTCGCTGGCTTCTCCTGTGGCTCACACTGCCCCACCTGACTTGGGAGCGTGCACTGTGGTGTCACTGGAGCATGAGCCTTGGCCCCTGAAAGCTGACCTTTTTCCAACAGCAGGTGTACCACCTAAAGAGATGAATCATTCTCCAGTTAACTGGCAACAGAGATAGCACAGTCTAGAGTACATGCTTCCTTCTACCCTCTCAGGGTCCAAACTTTTACAGCAGCAGGTGTTATAGAGACTCCCCTCCCCACACATGTCCTCCAACTATTCCTTAATTTTAAGGGTTGTTACATGACAGCCTCTAAAATACACTAATGGACTTGCAAAATATTTGCCAATAGAGTAAGAAAGGGTTTTCTTCCTATAAAGTTGTGAGGGTGTTAAGAGGTATCAAAGATAGTGCCACTTGCATATTTGTACAGGGAATTAAGTTAAAAACATTTTATAATGTGAACACAAATAGTAGTTCTCAGCAGTTCTGAATGTGTACACCCACTGGCTATTTTCAGGTGTGCCAGGGAAGCCAAGGTGTCCAAGAAACCAAAAGTAACCACAACAACACTGGGGAGAATTCCAGTCTTGAGGTTCCTTCACCTTTATTCACTGATAGAGAACTGGTTTACCACAGACAGGAGTAGAACCATACAGGAGTAGAACCAGCAGCCACTCACCTGGCCTGTGTTTCTCAGTGTTTCAACAGCTTGCTTATGGGTAGCTCCTTCCAAACTAATCCCATTGACAGAGAGCACACGGTCACCTACATTATTAATTTAAGAAAAAGTACGCAGAGCATCACCTATAAAACATCTATGATGCACAGAAACTTTCAAGTCTGAGCTAAAAAGGACAGTTATTTAAGGAAATTCCCCTCCTTTCCATGTTCTGAGTCAAGAAGAGAACTTTGCAAATAAACTCTATGGTTCAAATCAAAGGTGATTTCCAATGTAATGATTTTGTGGGATAATCCCATGTCAAAATTAGCGTTAACAATCAGAGTGACAGCCTGCCAGAAAGCTCAGACTCTTTATTTAAAACAAATCTTAGTCCACAGTGGGAATGCTCACTTTTGTGAAGAACGTGGCCTGGCTTACTAACAAGAAGAGCCATAACAATTACAGCATTTTCTGTACTGAGTTGCCAGGCGTGCCAAGCAATAAGGCCACCAATAACTCAAAGCCCTCTCTCTCTGTGCTTGGAACAGAGAAGCATTCTCCATTAACACAGGCTGCTTTAGAGAACAAAAATTCCCAAATTTTTCCCCTCCACAGCCTCTGCATCGCTGGTTCTGCAGCTGTTCTACAATGGTTTTTTAATCTTCACCTGCAGAATTAGCTATCAAGGCAATATTTAAAATGACAACCGCAACAGCTTGGAAAACCAGCTCTTCTTCCCAGTGAAAAAGGTGCAAGGACAGGAGGCAAACACAGTGCTAGTTTCCAGGCCACAGGATATTGTCAAGTCCCCCACAGACAGTCCTCTGCTCTTTTTCACATTAAGAGTCCCCACTGAAAAAATGAAAATCCTACCTTTTTCTATTCTGCCATCTGCTTCAGCTGCTCCCTTGGGAATAATCGCTTTCACATAAATACCACCATGCCTTATGCTAGTATTTACACCACCCTAAACAGAAAACAAAAATAGGATTGTTAGTCTTTTTGCAGTTAGAATACTTAGTAATTAAACACAGCATCACACAAGGAAAACTGTTCTTAGGAAGCATTTGGGCTACTGGCATGTAGAAAAAACAGAGAAACTACCAAAATGAAAATGTAACATCAAGCATGTTCTGTGCAGTCATGCAATTTGCTATGAATGAGGTTGGAGTGGGAAGATTGTAAAAAACACAATGCATCACAACGCAAATGCACGAAACACAAATAAACGTCCTTCAGCAGAAACATGTCTGCATTTTGTTGGACTTTACATGCTTGCATGCACACCAAAGCTCAGAGATGTGCAAGAGCACAGCATGCCAAAGCAGGAGATGCACAACCATGCAGTGTCCTACTCCAACACAACTTCTCTGATGTAACAGGAAATTAAGGAGCGCTGCTTTCTCTCAGTTCAGACAAGTTTGAAGGTCTAAGCTGCTCAAGCTGAACTGACATTGTTTTTGGAGGGCCTTGGCCTTTCTCCTGGTTGCAGCGGGGGTAGGACTAGATAATCTTTAACTGTCCCTTCCATCCTAAACCATTGTGTGATTCTGGTCACTGTGCTCCACAGACTTGGAGGGAAGAGGAAGACCAACAGTGTGTTAATGTTCACTCCCAAAGCACCCAGTATTACAGGTGAAAACTTAAACGACAGGTGACTGCACACCTCTCCTTACCACCACTGTACAGCTAAACAATGAAGGGGTGAATGGAGGCTGGAAAAGCAAAGGGCAGTGAAGACACCCCCATGCCACCCCTCAGGGAAATCTCTGCATTGGTTGGCATCTTCTAACATCTCCACAAAGCCAGTGCATGCACACAGCAGGTCTGGTGCTACTCAATAACCAACTCCTGCTCAAACACTGTTACTCCAACTATCTCAAGCAATGGAACTTGACTTTGAATAGACTGGGATGCCAAAATAACACTATTTCCTTCTGCACCTCTTACAGTCCTAGCCATATATATGGAAACAGCGCTAGGCTTGCAAATCATTCCTCCACTGAAAATAGCTGAATATTAAAACACATTAAAATGTATATTTGAATACAGAACGGATGCAGTGAAAAATATATGTAAATTATTCTCTTCTTCCCTGAAGTGCCACTCTGCAGTATGACAGGCCCTAAACATAAAACTAACTTCAAAATCTTACAGCATGAAGAGAAATCAGCCTTAAAAATTTATTTTTCCTCATACTGCTAGAAAGCAGTGCCAGCCAGGTCTCATTTGGGTTTATGTAGTTTTTTGCTTTCCGCCTTTTCTCCAGCAGAGGGAGAACACTGAACATGGTGAATGTGACTGAATGTGCACATATACTCTTAAATAACACTACTGCTTCCACTGCCTGCCTTGCCAGTCTGGGAGGGTCTCACTTCTTTCCTTGCAAATTTGCCACAAGATTAGGTAGCAAGGGACAAAGACCATCTTGCCTTTTGTACTCACAAAGCAGCATCTGTGATAAGAGTCTATTAGGACTTTGGGGCTCCGACATAAAACAAAAAACAATAATTACTTAACGGGCAGATCAGATGACAAGAAAATTAATATAAATTCAGCTTTGGTAAGATTAATCACATATCAATAAATCTATAAATTAAAGTGATTCAAGAAAATATTTTGCTTCCTTGTAATTTAACAATTTAATGGGTTGCTGGGAGTAGAGAAAAAGAGAAAACATCTAAAAACCTTGTCAAACAGTACCGTGACACTTATTCCCAAGCCGTTATCTTTTTTTGCTAGTTCAACCTCAAAGATATCTCCAGGTTTAAGAAGCGTTGTAGAAACTTTTTTAGAATTCACTTTGTTTGCTGTATTTGATGAGGAAGAATCCTTTATTAAAAAAAAAAAAAAAAAAAAAAAGAAGAGAAAAAGAAACAAACAAAACAAAAAGAGACAATGATTTGCCTTTAGAACAGATGCTAACACCTAAGAACCTAAAGGGTTAAAGGGTGGGGTTTTGAGTCAGACACAGCCAGAAGGAGTCCACCTGGCAAAGTAACAATTAGTAAGACTCAAGGCTCACTGCTTAAACTCTTCCATTCCTGCCATTGAACAGGTTTAGCACAGAAATATTCTTGGCCTTTAGCAGCCAAGTGTTTACTGTCCAAGTGAGCTGGTTACAGGACACTGAAACTGCAGGACTTCAGTATTACAGCAGCCTAGAGTCTGTTGGATTAATTAGCAGGAGCTGCCACAATTTAACTGAATAACCTCCATCAGCTGAACAGAGGAATCACTGCAAGTTGGAAATAAATTTGTAGTACTTGTGACTGTGCCCTTTTGTAAAGGTGAAGCAGCAAGCTGTGTCTGCTCGAGAGCATGACTCACTGATGAATTTTAATGCATAAGAGCAGTTTTTCAAGGATTAGATCAATCCCAGAAGACAATGAATTCTGCTGCTACCCACTCCAGATGTATGACTCCTATTTTCCTCTAGGAAAAACTTCATTTATCTGCTAAGTAATAAACTTACCTCTAGGGATGGTCACTAGATAATGAACATATTGGACAAACACACAGAATTGAAAGGTGGTTTTCTACAGCCTCAGGAAGTGCACTGTAGGTTCATCCCAAAGCACAATCTGCCTCTAGTAAGGCATGTCTTGTGGCATTGGAAAGCTGGAAAGTTGTTCCAAGTTACAGAAGTGATTTTCTCAATTTATTTTGAACAAAACCACCATGTTATTAGAAATCAGCTACTAGCATTAGCTGCAGGCAAGGCCAGGCTACTCTTCCCTCACATCCTGACACCCAGAGACAGCTATTTCAATACCACTATCACACTGATGGGAAAATATTCATACGAAATCCACTATGCCTTTTTAGCTGGCTGCTGCTCCTGGCTGCCGGAGTAAGTTGCTTCATCCATGTCGGAATCCCCTCGGTCAGAATATTCCACGGGCTCCACTACCCCGGGCCTTTTCATTTTTGCTCGAGTACTGTCCGATGAGGATCTTCTCTTCTCGATGGCTTTTGAGGCCCCGGCCTGGGACTCGCTGCAGTGCTGAGCATCCTGCTGGGCTCTCCCACTTGCACGCTTGCCGAAGAAGCTGGCGGCCTGGCTCTGGGACAGGCTGGCACTCTCGGTCCAGGAGTCCTGGGAGCTCACGCTTCCGTCCTGCTTGCCTCCCGACAATCCAGAGAGGCTCCTCGAAGCGGGCCTCTGGTGACCACGGCACCGGCTGTGCTCTTCTGAAGAGGACTCTGCCTCATTGTCCTGCACTGAGGACGGCCTCCTCAAGTAGCCCCTGGCTCCATTGCTGGTATGAGCAGTGTTAGATGATGCTGCAAACAAGGAGACAAGACAGCCATCAGCAGCTGGCAACACCTTATCTGCAGCATGACACCCTTTTCTCAGCTTACAGCCCAGGAGGGTTTCACCCGGCTGGATATTTCACAGGGAGCTCTCTGCTCACACTGTACCCCACCAATGGCTACCCACACACACCTCTTCATCCTGTCTCTGAACACAATTCCCAGCTAGCTGGGGTTGCTCACAGGGGAGACTGCAGATCCATACCTTTGGACAGCTTGTCCTTGGGCTGGGAGATGACTAGCGTCACGCCCTCAGGAGCATTCTCCAGGATTTCCAACGCTGCGTGCTGGCTGACGCCTTCCAAACTCGTGCTGTTTATAGATATGAGGCGGTGCCCTGCACAGAAGGCGTTGTTCAGATACAGCCTAACACCTACATTTTTACCTTTCAGTGACAATGCAGAGTACGGGTCTGACAACTTCTACACAATGCATGGATTAAAGATTACTAAACTTCAAGTGATGCTGGAAGAGGGAACTCTAATCAGGAAAAAAAAAGTCAAACCCCAAACCAGACCACAAAAACTGGTTATATTTCCTCTTTTTAAACCTGCCAAATCTTAACATATTCTGATTTCTACCTTCTCTTTTGCTGTAAAAAATAGAAAGAGAGAAAGCAGAAATCAGAAAATAAATTAGCAATATGCAGTTCAGTTCAAGACATGGACTAGGATGAGAAGGAAAAAAAAAATACATTTTTCTCCTCCTCCCCCACTACAGTTATGGTTATGGCATATATTTCAATTTCATGTTGTAAAAAAATTAATGTAGGGATACTGAGTTTTTAAAACTTTAAATTACAATGCATCTGCAAGACAGACAATGGAAAATAAAGCTCTTATCTTTATACGTAACTTCAATTTTCTGCTACTTCAAACTTTATAATTTTTACATCGATTTGTATGATTGTTGTTTTTGCATAGTTTAAGCAAGAAGTATCACCAGTTTTCAGAAACCATCTGGAATGTAACTGAAGGTCACCATTGTAAGGAACTGTGATACCCAGAGCCACAGATGAAATTTTATGCTGTTCACCTGGTTTTAGAGTCCCTTCCAAATCAGCTGGCCCTCCAGGAATAACTGAATGAATAAAAATTCCCAGATCAAGTTTCCCTGTCTTCTCTCCACCGACTATTTGAAAGCCTATGAAAAAAAGGGACAAAGCAGGCAAAAATGTCAGTGACCACCATGTAACTTAACACAAGCCCATATTTTAGAACAAATACTTAGTCATTCTCATAAATGTAAAGTAAAAAAACCCAGGCACCTCAAATTTAAATCTGCATGGAAACAAACAACAAAGCTTTTTGATTAAGCTTTATTGTATCTTGTTTTAAGCAATTGATTTAGACTTTGCCTGTCTGTCTGTTCAGGACACTTCAGCAAAGGCTACAGAAGATAACTCTGGCAAGAGAAACACACAAACAGGTGACATGAAATGTACATTTGCTGAGCAGACAAGATTTGTTTTCTATCACATAAACATTTCTGGTTTTCTCCATTGTTTGTTGTTCCACATAGAAGTTTGACCCTGGTCTTAAGACCTGAGTTTTCAATGTCCCTGCTTTATTTTGAGGCTTGTAATTTATTTCTGTTCATACTACCACGTAAACCTGGGATGAATGTTCGAGAGGGAAAAAAAAAAAAAAGAAGATATCTGTCTTCTCTACTCTAGCTAAAACAGCAAACTACCATAAATTGCATGGGGAAAAAAAGAGGAGAAATAGCACACTTCTGAGTTTTTTTCCTTTTTGCTCAACATGTACATTACTGTGCAGTGTAAAAACTATGTATTACTGTATTATAGGCTTTTTTCCCGCCTCTCAAATTTAACTACACTCTGATTCTGAATGACAGAACAATCTCCTTAGAGATTGTTCACTTTAGAGAATCTTCCTAAAGAACAACACTGACAATAAATTTTTTGTTACTCATACAGGGAAAAATTATGTGGATTTACGCAAAAAAAACTCAGTGGTAGAGGAAGAAATATAATAGAAATATCCCATCTGCCAGGCTCCTTAAACATCAAATCAGTGTTCCATCTGATACTACAGGAATAAGGAAAACACTCCACAATTCGCACATAATGCTTTTATTGTGTCTTTTTTTTTAAAAGAAGCATTCATTTAAAGCATTTGTCACAGCTCAAATCTGTGAGGTTCCATAGAGAAAAAAATGCTATACTGAGCACAGAGAGAAAAGGTCTTTATAAGGTCAACTTCTAGGATGACTAGTTCACAATATTAATATAATCCTACATTTAAAGTATGGAAAAACTGAAAAACAGACTCACTTAACATCACAGAAAGTGCATTTTAAATGCCCTCAAAATCCAGCTACTGCCACCATTGCTTTGCTTAGTTCTACAATAAATGTTTAAATACAGGCCAGAAAACTTTATTTTGTTTTTGGCTTCTAGAAATACACGTCAACAGCAATTTTAAAGCCACTTACCTAAGCCAAACTTTTTATCCTTTTTCAAATTCACCAGAGTGATCTCTCTCTCTGGTGTGGCCACTCTGTTCTGTGTTGTTTGAAGAGAGTCAACTGTAAAGTCAACATTTCATGATCAGACACTACCTCAACACTTTGCTTCAGGTTTACTTGGAAGTTCTTTTCCATTAAAACATATTACTTCTCTGATAACTTGAAAAGCTGTTTTGATCTAGTGGGTCCAACTTTCATCTTCTAAGCCATGGCCACAGACAGAAAAAACCCTCCACAACCCTTCTAACCCACTTCCATCTTCAGCAGTTAAAAATATTTTACTCCTCCTAAGAAAAGCAGCTAGCACAATCTCATGAAGGGACAACACAAATGAGTCCTAGAATCTTCAACTTCATTAGTCTCAATTCAGGAAGATATTTAGATCTGTGTTTATATGCTCTGCTCATAGATAGGGAGGATGCAAACACATTGGTAAAATTGAAACTGAGGGTCATTATATGAAATTACTGGAAGGTTACCCAATGAGTTCTCTTAATGGTGTCTCTTCACTAAAAAACAACCAAAATTAGAAACACCTACTAAAACATTAGAAACATCTACTAATTCTCTTGCTTCAATTTTCTTCCTCATTTGCAACTCCACAGGTTGCTGATTCCACCTCTTCTAAAATTTGAGCATCTTCACAATAGAACTCTTGACTCTTGAGGCTTCCCATCAGGCTGAAGCAGACCCAGGCATTTAAGAGACCCAAGGAGAATAATTTGGTGAAGAAAAAAAAGCCCACTAACAAACACCAACCAAAAAATCCCACCCCACAAGCAAACAAAACAAAATACAAACAAATAAACAAGCTAAATCTCCTGAAACTTCAGGAAACACCAACATACTGCAAGTCTGAACTCATGGACTTGCTTCCTAGAGGAGACATTCATTTGGTCCAGGAGTGCCTGGGATACTTTTGCCTTAAGTGGAAGAGGCAATCCACAGCTGCAGAAACCTAATGAGCTCCACACACTGGTACAAGCACAGAACAAGTGATGCAGGAGAGTGCAGCAGACTGCACATTGCCCAGACAAGCAGTTTTTTCTCCCTCAAAACCACATCAAGCCTCAAGAGTGAAAGAACTAAAAATAAAACACAGAACCAGTAGCCACCTAAGGGAAATGAGCTTTCAAGAGCAGAGCTTTCTGGTAGGTAAGAGCACCCTTCAACTTCCAAACTAAACAGACACTATTCATGTTTGAGAAATAATACACACAGGTGTTAAACCTCCCCCAAGAAGCAATCCAAAATAAATATTAAGAAAGGAAATACTAGGAAAAGGTCTTATCTAGCTAACTGGCAAAGGCACTTAAGAATACCAAAGGTACAGACAAGTGGAACAGTGAAGCATTTCTAAGTGACAAACTGACTAAAGTAATTATTTATCAACTTACCACTCTCTTTTAATGCTGCTGATGACAGATGATTTTCTGAAGTATTCATGCTAACACCTGTGACATGCATGGAAGTATTAAGACACTGTTATCAATTTTTTTTAAATACAAAAGCTGCCAAAAATTATTTCAGTCTTTACAGTCTTTACATTTCAGTTCACATGAGCTCATTCACAATATCAAGCTACTTCTTTTAAAAACAAATAAACATAAAACTAGCTTTGTATTAGTAAATCCAAATTACTCATGTACTCTCATTGTAGTTTAAGGTTCAGATAGATGGTAGCTCATGCAAAGGCAATGAATTAAGGAAGGACAGAGGTTTGGCCTTTATGACCATGGTTAACTTCAGATAAAAGTAATGGATCTTGAGCAATGAAGTCAATTTTCTAACAATATTAGATATTGAATATGCTGAACCTAATAAACCAATACAACAGGACTCTTTTAAGATTTTGTAATGGAACAAATAAGCTGCTGCAGTAATAAGCAATTTGAACAATTTCTATTTAAAATTGTTTGCATATAGAATAATGTTTTCTTTGAAATTATTACAGCCAAGCAAATGTGGCCCTACTTTAAAGATGTTAAATTAATAAATGTACCAATATATGAAAGTACATGAGGGAATATAATTCTTAAGAAAGCAGCCCTGGCCTTCTCCAAACCTATGAACACCAAAGTATCATCTGATATGTTTCACCATGCAAAGAACCTACGTCCCTCAGCACAGGCAGTGTGATTCAGCAGCACTTTCTGACATGTGGCTGAGACGCTCACCAGAACTGCTGCCCAGAAGTTGGCTGCAACCCGTCACTACAGAACCTCATGCCTCATCTCACTCCTCCTGAGAGCAGTTATGCTCTCAGCACTGAAAATGCATCATTCCCAAGTGAGTCCTGGCTCCAAGTGCACGGGGGGGGGGGGGGGGGGGGGGGGGGGCAGATGTGGGATGTCACATGCTGCTTCGTTCGCCTTTTTTCAGTTTGTTTATAATGACCCCAGCCCCAGAAACTTAACCATCTTCCACTTTTTCTGATGTCCTGTAACTACAGGAAAGCCAACCAGCAGCTAAAGCTGCAAATATTTTAGTCATTGTAGTTTCTATTGTTTTAATAGGGAACCTTTTAGAACCAGAAACTGGTAACACACAAATATTAAATATTCACATTTAATAACCCAGTGTTAGTTTAAGTCTATTTAGCTGCTCTGAATGTTTAGGGTTTTTTTAATGTGAACTCTCTCTTTTAGTTAATAGTAAGACTACTTATGTGCACTCCAATCCTTGCCAAGAAAATGGAGTAAGTGCATCTGGCTTACCTCACTACAAAAGTGTTTTTGTAAAACACCAAGCGCAGTGCAAAAAAATATTTAATTTATAATATCTGGAAAAAACCAAAAAAGAAAATAAAAACTCCAAAGTGTGGAGCTACTACTTAGAGGCACTGGTCCATACCCAGCTGATGACAAACAGTCACTTCCAAAAAACCACTCCCTACATCTTTCCACAGAAAACACTGAAAAAGTTCAGCCTTCACAAACAGATTGTGAAGACTAGCAAATTATTAAAAGATCCATACAACCAAATGGCACCCTGAAGTAATAACCTGAAACCTGTTTTCTGCTACAGCTTTTACTTTACACCTGTGCATAGACTGGTGCTGACCAAAGGAGGATTCACTGCAATAACAGCCTGGATTGCTTTAACATGTGATATTCTGCTCCCTCTTTCAAATCAAAATATTACCATCAGTTAATAAATATATCAAAGCATTACACCCAAAGCGATTTTAGAAATTTGTTAGTAAATACAGTAATATTATTTTTTGCATGCTGACCTACAACATAGGCTTGACCAGTATCTTCAATGGATGATGAGTCTGATTCATTTTTCTTTCTTTCAGGGCTTCTACTTAAACCTGCATGAGATTTTGAACTTAAAGGGGAGAAGGAGAGAAGGGGAACCAGACAGAGGAAAGAGGAAGTTGGGAGAGGGAAGGATCAATGTAATAAAATAATGGCATGAATAATAAATCAAAACTGATGCAAAATGTACATTGATTGTACACAAAGATACTGCAGGGTGGTCAGAGAGACTCTTACTTGCTTGGCTTTAATTCTCCCGTTGCTGATCCAGGATCAAATTTTGGCATTTGCTGAAAGACCCTTCCCATTATATCTTCTATTTTTTTGGGAGAAGAGTCCAGAGCAGTAATAACATTTTTCTTCGAGGGATAAACAGAGATGTGACTCTGACTCAGATCATGAAATGACTTGCTCATAACTCTGGGTCTTTCCTCCCATGGACTCTTCTCATTCTTGTCCCTTGCCGAGCCAGGTAGTGGCTGGAAGAGCGAGAGCTCAGAGCAGGACAATCTCTTCAGGATCTCTGCTTGGACAGACAGGGGTCGGACAGCGAGTCTGTTCAGGGTGCTGCTGGCCAGGCTGCCAGTGCTGATGGCTCGGCCCATGTTGAAGCCTTTCACAGAGTCTGCATGAAGGTTCAGGCTCCTAAATGAAGCCCTTTCTGTGGAAATTTAAAAAAAAACAACAAAACAACAAAACCCAAAGTTATTCAATAGAGATAGTGTGACCACCTTGTGCAAAGCATGCTTTTTAAACAACCAACTCACACAAAATGTATTTTCTTGATATACTTAGCAGAGATATATAAACACCCACCATGGAGTTTGCTCAGGAAGCAAAGTTTGGAGTTCATGACACTACACTAACCCTAAGTCCAAAACCACTGAATGTTTATCCTCTTATTAGCATGAAGACTTATATTCCCTGTCAGGCTGCTGTCCCTTCTACACAGGCAAATCACCTCCTTCTGCAAAACAAATAAATATCCTTAAGCCAAGTGACCTAGAAGACTACACTTCCTTTAATCTGAACATAAAAGTCTTTTCCAGGATTTGAACAAATAGGGCTCCCCCATCTCCACACTATCAGATGCTACCAAATTTCCACGCATCCATTGCTTTGTTTTCTTTGCATGAGCCCCTCCACATTTACAGTACAGCTGCAAGGCCACGAGGGCTTGGCAGCATCTCTGCCCACTTACAGAGCACCAGTTCACTCAGGTGCACCTAAAGACCTCCCCTGTCACAAATATCCTCGCATGAAACAAAGTGTTGACTGGGTTTTGCCAGACTTTTTGACTCACTAGCAAGGATTCCCTTAAGCAGCAGCAAGAAACAGGATTTGGGCTTTAATTAAATTACTGCCAGCTGAGTCGTGGGAACTATCTGGGTGGGTGCTCTCAGCTGAAAGCAAATTCATGATAATATATCTTAGCCTAAACCCCTCTTAATTCAGAGCAAAGCTCCTTTCTATTACCCTAACTGCCTCCTAAGGCTAGCAGTTAAGTTCCTCTGGCTTGGCTCTCACACAGGAACTCGATAAGCTGTGGCAACTTGTTGGCTGGTTAGAGACTTTAAAGGAAATCAGGCCTGGACCCTTCATAAATTTCACTGATGTCTTGGAGTCAGCTCACAGGGAAGTCTCAGGAAAAGCAATCCTCAACTGCATATATATTCCTGATTAAGGGTTAACCGGTGGGGTTTTTTTAACCCTATATACACATGTAGGAGACAAGCTGCTTTAGGAAGCTGCACTGTAAGTCAAAGGGAAAATTATACTTTTTTGGTACACATCACCCACTAGGTTTAATAGTAATTACTGTGGCATTTAGAAAAGAGGCTATTTGACAAATAGCCTCAGTCCTGCCATTCCAAAAGACTTTACTACCTCCAATACCTCAGACAGGAATTAACTGCAACAGTAACTCAAGTTTCCTCTGTAACAGGCATAGAGATGATGAAGATTTATTTGTGGAATGTATGTCTTTCTGTCCTTTCATCAGGTGAATAAGTATACAACTACCACTTCCTTATCCACGCCAAACACCTCTTCTAGCCACAGCCACCAGACTAGATAAGCTACAGAAAAATTATTTTGCCCAATCAGACCAGAAATCCACAAATCCCAATTTCCTGACTCTGACAGAAGCCATCAATGACAGCTGCATTTCCTGTGTTGCCATCATGGGAAAGAGTACCCTAAAAAAATGTGTTGAGATGTCTTCTCTTGACATTGTATTTACGCTCTGAGAACATCAAACAGAATTTCGACGGATTTCAGATACTTTCATACCATTAACTATATTATATAGACATTAGGCTTTTCAAACCTTCAGCCATAACTGAAAATTCACACGTGCTCAAAACTCATCATTTGTAAGGCTGACTGAACCCTCATTTAATTTTTTTTGGTTTTCCATATGCCATTTCTGGAATCCAGAATGCCCTTTTCTTTTCTGTTATACTTGTCCTTTTCTTTCCTATTTTGCTGAGTGCTCCCAACTACCAGCTTTTACTGGCATATTATGGGTTCGATTTAGATTTAGCAAAGTTATGACAACAGCAAATTTTCTGTTTTAATTGTTTTTACTTTTAATAATCAGTGTGTTGGAGTTAGCCATAATCCTGATTTGTTTGCTTCTGATTACAAGTGATTGGTAGAATCTGGGACTTCTGATTTCCAAGTGATCTGCACTGTACAGAAGCAAACTATTGTTTTCCAGTCTCCCACAGTGCAACACATATTCCATCTGTTAAGAGCAACCAAGTTTGCCTAGCCAAGAAAGCCTTCCCTGTATTACTTTTCTCTGCAATTCAGGATAAGCACACTCTGAATCAGAGAATGGTAAAGGCTTTAAGTCATTTGGTCTTATTTCTTTGCCTGAAGTTGGCTGAGCCCAACAGAACAGAAGAAAGGCTGGATAGTTGCCACATGCCTTTTCCCATTCTCACTCCTCCTCTTTTCTTTTCTAAATTAGAATCATTATATCCAATGTGATATCCAGCAATGTGGTCAAAGTTCATACCAGCTACACTGGTGGAAGTCCGGATTAACAGCAACAGGAATGCAGACAGATAACAGGGAACAGAGTGTGAGCAAGTAGACTGACCAAAACAGCACTTCCAGACCACACTGAAGGCCAGCCAGCCAAGTGAGCTCTGCTCCAAACAGTGAACAAACTCATACAGAGGGTTTTTTTCACTGATTACATTTTCTATCTAAAAAGAATGCCTTTACATTTTCTGTTATTCACACAAATTACGAAGGAAATGGGAATTACGAAGGAAACAGATTAGCAACTGTGCTGTTCCTTACCAGGTCCACCCAACATTAGGTGGAATAAAGACAGCTGTACCCACACTTAGAGAGAGAGCATCGTGGAATGTCCCCTCTTTTACTTGCACTCCCATGATCACACCATTAAGTCCACAATATCAAACTAATCCCTTTCACATTAAGCAAAAGGTAAAAGTCCTGTTATTGAAATACCTTCAAGATATTTCTGAAAAAGGCAAAAGTCTTTATTTAATTAAAGAGGGACTATTAGTGACCTGTTTTTAGATTCCTCTTAGTTTAGAGGAGCTGCTGTGTGCCAGCTTTTCTGTGTTCTCCCAACTCTTCCCACCCCTTAAACAAAATCTAAACAAGCTTAGCTAGTAGAGTTTCTTCATTGTATAAACTTTCTAAATGTAGATCTACAAATACACAGCACTCAGCAGAATTACTGAAGCTCTAGTTCAGTTTTCCTCCTTACAAAAATACATATAGATTGCTAATACAAACTAACACAGCATCACAGTCCTTACCAATGTCCTGCGTGTCTTGGTTGCTCTGTCTGGTTCTCATTTGTAGCTGGAACTTATGCTGGGAAGAGCAGAGATGCAAAAGGTACTGGCAAGTCTTACTATTGTCAGTCTGAAAGGAATGCTTGATGCCATCTGATGTGTTCTGCAAAGTTATTTTCTTCTTCTACACAATGGAGAAAGAAAAAAAGTCTAAGACAAATTATTTCTTTTATCCTACAAAGAATTCTGTGTTTGCTTGTGTACAGTTACAGCATTCAGACTTTCCTGAAGCAAAATGCACTGATGAGAGAGATTTCTATTAAAACAGGAGTCAAAGGTAATGTGAGATTTATAAAATAGCTCTTTAAAGGTACTCCTCGGCTAGATGAGAAGGTGCTTCATTATTATTTAATCTGCCTCTGTTACTGTTAGTGCTGAGTAATGACAACCAGAACTATTACATTTTGCAGGATGGGTCTTAAAATGCCCCAAGGAAGTCACAAGGGATGCTGCCATTTAAGAGAAAATTCACTAAATGCTGATTTAATTACCAAATCTCTCAGTTAATGTTCCAGGTCTTGAACTTGTATTTTCAGTAATTTTTAAACTTGAACTTATCCATTATAGTTAAAACCATCTCACAGATTAAACAGGCTTTTCAATAAAGTATCAGGCAGAATTAGAACTGCTGTTTTCAATACCTATATAGGGGTAAGCATTTGAAGCTCAATGTCTCATTAAAAACTGACACATGATCACCAGATTATAGTGTACCCAGTCAAGTTGGCTGGTGTTGTCCAGATCAAGTATCAGCCTGTTATCTTTTATCATTTAACTTAACTACTCTTGGAAATATAACTTAAAAGCAACATAGGTGCATCTCCTAATTATACTGAGTACTGGCATTTGCCTGTACCCAGTCCTCTAATTCAGTCTGGTGCTCCTTTACTATGCTTGTCCATGCAAGTTAAGGAAAAAATAAAACCTTTAAAACATGAAAACTCCTATTTCAATCCCATAATGCAACAGCCACACAAAACACAGTCAAGACTATGCTGTAAAAGAGCAGTTTAATTTGTAAAAATAGACAACAGAAACCTCACAGTAACTGGAGACACAAATATAGGTGTGTACACAGAGAGGAAAAGAGACCAGCTTACACTAAAGGATATTTTCTTTGTCTCTCTCCATGGGAAGTGCAGGACAGGTGTACGGGCACCATTGTGCACTTCAAAAATGACAACTCCTTTGCAGCACACTCCCAGAAGGATTCCTGTTTGGGATCTCTTCTCAGGTAGCACATGATGAAGGTGAACCCCGTATTCTGTGAGCCTCTGACACAACTGCACAGATCAATGCAACGAAACTTCTATGAGTATGAATTCACAGCCATTACAAGTTTCCATACCACTATATGAATATTATATATCTCTCTATAAATGTTTTCACATGTGCATATAAATGTATAGATTTTAGCAAAACAATCCTCTCTGCCTGGTGATTCCACTTACTTATAGTTTACAGCTATTATTACAGACACACATCAGCTGAGGATTTTAAGACTTGGTGGTACCTTTTGGCTGCCAGACTGCAGCAGATGAACCCAGTGTTTATTAAAATCAAAGAGGGAAAACACAGAGAACACATGTAAGTAAATCAAACTTACACAAAGCAGTTGTTAGCAATAAACTCTAACTAGACAGATGCTCTTGTTCTTCACACATTTTTAAAAGCAGAATTAAATTAACACTGTAATTCTGTGATTATATTAAGGTACCATATGCAATTTCACTCACTTTGCACTCCCAGTTATTCACCCCTGTTGTCTTTTCAGGACTGGTGTAAGGGGCTGATGGAATGAATCAAACAAGGGAATCTAGCTGCTCCCCCACCACACCCCCAGCCAGGCTAGGTTTTAGCTAGGATCATGTCCCCTACTTTGTTCTCTGTGGTTAAGTTACAAGAACACTTCTGTAAAAGGAGCAACAGACTTGGAATGGACAAAGTCAGCTGAGTGCCTCTTCCATCACATACTCAGAGATGGTGGAACTGTAGTGTGGCTGTGAAATTACAGTATAATGGTTATTTGGTGTTGCAACAGCAATCCTTCACTCCCTGAACTAATTTTGACCAAGGGAGAACCTGATTATTATCCCATGAGGAAACACTATAATTAGATTTCTAAATGGGTCCTTTTAGAATAATCCAAATATATCCGTGGATAATGGCTTTCCTATCATCTTACATAGAACCTGCACAAAAAATTCTCCATGGCAGTGCTTCTGGCTTGCTTCATACCAAGCATCACACAAAGTAACAAATTTTTTTTGTAATTTATGAGCTTTTTTCCCCTCTACAGAAAGCACAAAAGACATGGGGAATACAGGGTGTGCTGCCTCGTAAACACTACTTCCTTTAAAGCAAACATAACTTGTTCAGTAGTTGCTTTTAACTGGCTTGAGCTAACACTACTGATTGGGAAAAAGTAAAAGAATGTCCCATCTGTTACAATTTCTTTTAGCTTGTTACAACGTGTCTTTTGGACAAAATCTTTTCAGCTTTCTTCCTTTCAGTGTTATTCAGAGCCTCAGTTGTTTTACTGTGCTTTTACTTGAAGTCCACGCACCCATATTCCAACAAGGGAATTTTTAAGCCACAGATGAAGGAAGCCAACTGCTGCCCACTTACCTTCAGAAATTCTAACTCTGTCTCTTTTTCAGAGGCACCCACGTAAGTGCTGTGCAGTTTTGGCAGCTCTTCCTTGGTGTAGGACAGATCTAGTTTCTCCAGCACTCTTGCTGGGACATAGTGTTCTAGTCTGAAATAGGACAAGCCGTGCACCTGCAACACAAAACCTTGTTGTGGTGGCACCTCCATATACCTCCACATACTTCCATACCCTACGAGCACAACTGAAGCACAAACATCCATTTCTACAAACAACTGTACATTATGACTCAGAGAATCATAAGATTCTGAGTAAGGGGAGGGAACCACAATCTCCACCTTGACCTACAGCTTAATTCATATCAGTTTCTCACTATTCAAGCCTGACTCTACTTCCACTGAAAAAAACCAAAGGCTTTAACACCTAGATCTTGCACTGAATTCTGCAACTAACTGTGTTAGACTTTAGGAACACCTGGTCACAGTAAAACCTGCCAAGAGCATATCAGCTGAGCTTCCAGTCTGGGGCAAAGCACGTGTGCTGTGGTTTAACACGGAAAGAGAATTTTTTCGGAAGGAAGAGGTCAATTCAGTCAGGGGTCAGGTTTGGATACTGACACTTGGGGTGACCAATTGAAGGTGGACATGCCTCTGAGAACAAAGAGGGGTTAAAAGCAGAATTCCCAGGAGAACTCGCTCTCTTTGGTTCCGAGAGTGCAAACCTCCCCTGCCCAGCAGCGAGCTGGGTGGGGGAGGGGAGCCATGCGGCCTGCAGGGGTAGGCCAGGGGGTGAAGGATCAGAATCGAGCTGGGCCAGCTCCTGCGGGCAGAAGGGTGGAGAACATCTGGGATGTCTTTGTTCCCCCCCCAACCCAGAGGGAAAAGAGATAGAGAGCCTGCAGGCACCTGGAAGTTTGCCGGCAGAGGAGAAGGAGAAGGCAGGGGAAAGATGCCCAGCGTGGGAGACATGAGACGGAGTCCTGGGCTGAGATTTCAGCCCTCCAGGGAGTCCGTGACTTTTAACCCTTTCCTGGGAAATGAAGGCTTTGTGAAATATTACTCCTCCTCAACTTGAAGGAAAGAGGGACAGCCTGGGACCTCAGATGTTAGGAAAAGAAGGTTGGGGGGAGATGATGGAGTGGCTTTTGGCTGGACTCTTCTTGTTAGCCATAAACTGAACCAATCCTTCCTCCAAGAGAGACTGCATTTTAGGGGGATGCAATGGTGAGCCAAGAGACTCCTTCAGCAACTACCAGTTCAGGAATGAACAGAGAAAAGCTGAGGAGGGTGTGATGATGCCCTCCATCTTCAGAGAAGATGAGAAGATGATCTCTGTTCTTGGACCCTCGGCCTCAGGGGAAAATGGGGGGGGACTGTAGTCCCAAATGAGACACTGGACTGTTGTTCCTGTTGGTCCTTGGCATAGCATCCTTAAAGGAGCCCTATAAGCAGTCTCTGTCCATGCATGGTGGTGAAAGCACTGTGACATGGAGAGTGTCACACTGGCCAGTGTGTCTGGACAGTGCCACGTGTGACATGGAAACACAAAAGGTGGCAGCTGTGTTTCCTGGGGGTCTGTGGTGCAAGGGGGACTCCTCTCTCCCCTGATGGACTCAGTATTGATTATGCGGAAGGGTGAAGACTTGATTAAGGGTCCAAATGTGTCTCACTGTGGTTTGTTGGAGTTGGGTGGTGGGAGGAAGAATGTTTTAAAAGGTTTTCATTTTGAATTTTGTGTGTGTGTTTTTTTTTTTTTTTTTCTTTTATAGTAGTAGTAATAGTAGTGTAATAAAGTTTTTCCCTTGTTATTATGTTTGGCCTGCTTTGCTCTGTTCTCGATCGCATTTCACAGCATTCAATTGATAGGTTGCATTTTCATGGGGGCGCTGGCATCGTGCCAGTGTCAAACCATGACAACATGTGGCTGTCCAGTCTTCAGTGAAGCAGCAAGATCACAGCTCAACAAGATCAAAGGTGAAATTGATGATGTACCTCTGCCTGGTAATCTCCATACTCAGCCTGGAGAGCTAGGGATGCTAATAATAAGGCTGTCTCATCATCACAGTGCATCCTGTCTTCTAGGATGTCCTTCCTCAACTGCAGGTAGTACTGGTGACATGTCAGTGTGTGCCTAGAACAGGAATATAAAACAAAACTATGAAAAACCCCCCCACACCACCTCTGGGACTCCAGTACTGATTAATACTCAATTTCTGTCCATAATTTAAGGGCTTAAGGGGCTATAAAAAATTTCATACACTCACTGTATGAGACTGACATCATCCACAAAAAACTTTATGCGAAAAAACAGAGTGAAGTTAACAGGAGGCTTGTTCTTCTTCTTTGGTTCTTCTTTCCATCCTTCTGGAGCTACTTTACTTAGCTTTATGTCAGGATCCACGAAGAAAAACTCATTGTCTGCCACAAACATCAAAGAGAAGCATGAGGGTAAAAGCATGAAAACCAAGCATTTGCACCAGATGGAGGATAGAAAGCAGATTTATAACTCTGAAATTGAGCATTGAACAGCAAAGTTTTCCACTAACAATGACTTAATAAGCACAATATCTCTTAAAGGGAATACTGAATAAAGGCAGAAGAAATAATCTAGCAGTTATTCTTACCTCTTAAAGTAGCCAATCCAAAGAAGTGATGCTCCACCAAGCCAATATGGGCAACAACCATATCAAAGACATCTTTACATATTGTTTTGGTATCACAGGTCAGCTCCAACTTCTGCCCACTCAGAAGCATCACATTTACTTTTCGCCTGGTGTCATCACTCTTGCCTTTCTTAGTCTGCATTTTGTGAAATGAAATCTCTCAACATTCAAACTTGTGATAAAAACACATTTGTTGGTTTAACATACTTCCCCTGCCACAGATGGCTGAACAGCCCCTTTCTTACCAAGATAGACTTTGGTAGATCCAAGGAGATGAATGGCTCAATCGTCATTTTCACAAACTCTGGGCCAAAGAAATTCTGCAAATCACAAAAGAGTATGAATGAACCCTGTGTTGCTGGAACAACAGGCTGGGGCACAGTTAACTCCTGCCCTGCAAATGCAAAAAAGGCATCAAAGGCTAAAATTTAGCAATTATCTGCTACCTACTCTTTACTACATGCAAAACATCTTCACAAAAACCTCTTAAGGCTTGGGGGACAGGGAAGGGATTACATGGTTAGTTAAAGCCTACATGAACTAACTCATCTTAATGTGATGGATCTTAATACAGGAGTTATTACTCTGCATTAGGGCAGCAAGTTCCTGAGTCTTGTTTCAAGTTTTCTCATCCTTACTCAGGAAAAAAAAGTAAAACATCCACTTCATGGAAAGTAGCAGCAGAGGGCATCAAGCCATCATCTATTCCACACATCAGACACTGACACTTTTTTTACCCATATACCTCTGTCCCCCTCTTTGTGTGTAATTCCCTATTTCAACCACATACCAAGACAGATGGGAATGCAAAGGGGATTCAGGTAAAATTAGGAGCAAATGAATGCTGTCTCTCTTTGCCTTCCGAACTTGTTCATTTAATACCCTCTGATGCTGGTGAGGCACATCCACATTCCACAAAGAGAAATGAAAATGAAGTGCCTGAAAACACCAACGAAAAGAGGAGAAAACCTATGCCTTACCTTTGTTATGATGCTATACTTTTTAATTGATGCAATTGTTGAGCCTTCCTGTGCGTTTTAGCATCTCTTGATGCCACTTTAGGCTCTGTAGCCACTAATGCCACAAAATCTCAGAAGATTTACCCTGTGAAAGTAGGCCAACACCACACACCTGGTATTTAATCTCCTGATGACTGTTTATTACAGGACCCGGTTTATGAATCCCACATACGAGTTTCAGTCAAGACACTGCTCTGTTTCAGCAAAAGCAAGAGTTCACCTGAGCTCAGGGCATTACCCTCAGTTTCCTTTGTGTCATGGCTGTTTCCAGGGCTATTTCCCTCAGTGGGTCTCTGGTGATGTCAAGCATGGAGGACCTAAATGCATCCCCAGGGTAGAGGTTAGGCCGGGACTGCCTCAGAGCCATCCTGGCTTGCAGTTGCATCATTTCTTCTTCCTGCCGCTTCAGCATCACCTCTTGACTTATTAGTTTGCCTTCAAATGGTGCTTCATGCTGCCTGTAGGACAGTCAGAGGGGATGGCAGATTAGCAGGTATGCCCAAGACATTCTGCTGCTTTAAGCACATCCTCAAGTGGAAAAGCAGAGCGCAAACACCAGCCATCAAATGCCACATTAAACACAATTATTCGGCAGCCAGGAGGTTACCTCTGTGCAGCAATCCATCACTGTAGAAAATAAGCAAACACACCAGGTTCCTGCAGCGCCTGCAGAACTGCCTCATTTATTCATATGAAAAGAAAGGCTCAGCTGCTGTCTGAAAAAATACTCAACACTACAAACCCAGTGAATCAGTGCAAAATTAGAAGATGCACAAGAAGAAGAGAAGTATTAATGCTTTGTAAATATTTTAATTTTGTGTTTATGTGGGGACTGTGAAAAAGGCACAATCAAAAACATGCCATTAAAGAAAAAACTGAAATAATAGTGTACTTTCTCTAAGTAAATATTACTTCAATACTTTCTGCTCGCATGGACCTGATATTTATTCTTTGATTTCTCCTGAGAAGTAATACAGCTTGAAATATTTACATTAAAATGTTTATGCCATAACATCCTATATACTAAAGTATTCTAAATATCATACACTAATGTTTCCATAATCTTATTTTGCTGAAAATAGTTCCTTTTTTTTTTTTAATTCCCAAGAATGGCTCAGCTGATATACAGTCACCCCAATGACTAAATTAGAGTCTAAATTCATAATCTGAAGGAAAAAATGAGAAAAACAAACAAAAAGACATCAGAATTTCAAAAAAAACCACAGCAACATATCTGCAATTTCTTTTCTGTAAGTATTGATCCCAAACATCCTATCAGTCTCATTCTTCACATAAGGAAAGAAATTCACATCCTGTTTGGGCAAAAAAAAAGACATTTTTAATTTGAAAAATAAAATTGCTGGCTAGGAAATGTGAATGACTGAGAAATCAAAAAACCCCAAAAAACAGTAATCAATTTCCATTCCCATTCTCTCTGTCCCAGGCTTACAGAAAAACACCTTCAAACCCTGAACTAAACAAAAACCCATGGAGCCTTCTGAAGAAATCCTAAAACAAGAATAAGCAATGTTCTCCCCGTAAACTTAATTATACAGAGGCAATTCTTAAACAAAAATAGACAGGGGAAACTAAGGTGCCTTTCACATAAAAAGTCCATTATTTGGCAATTCTAAACTGAGTGTTAAGCATACCACACATACTGAGTAATGAAAAACATGAAAAAGCAAAGAAAATGTTTAGAAGCCTGCGTATCATTGCAGTCAGGTTTAGAAATACACACAAATAGAGAGTAATCCTGCGCTGACTGACACAGGGCCCTTTGTTGTATGGAAACATACAGACTTCTTAAAAATACATTACATTTATATACTTCCTATATACATTTATATACTTCCTAGAAGAATCTATATATATATTTGGTGAGTGACAAATCTGTTAAAAAACTAAGAGAAAAATGCACCTGTCCAAGACAGTACACTTGCCTATGCTAAACTGTGGATGTGATTTCAAATTTGATTTTCATCTTTTTACAACATTACTAACTAATACCAATACCTTTAATACTAAAGTGCCATTGGTTAGCATACAAAACCAGCCTTAAAATAAGAAGAGTTAAATATAAGGGAACAATGCTAAAGTTCCTCAAAGGAAATTTCAGGGAAGACAGAGTAGTTATGGCACAAATGTGTTAATGCTAGCCCATTGTCCTTTCCCCTGTGCAGGGCTTTCACAGCATTTTTTTCCCTTCTCCCTCCTCTGTTGTTTTTCTACATAAGACTGAACTTAAAAAGACAAATAAATGAGAAAAGGCCTCAGACCTGCCAACACATGTGCACATGCTTAGCTTTTCCCCACGAGGAAACTTGTTAGGATCAACATATATGGGAATATTGACAAAACCCTAAGTTAAACACACCCACAAGCACCCTTCAGATCAAGGTCTAAGGATGGGCTCTGAAATAAAACAAAAATAAACACTTTCTGAACATAAATATCTATGAATTATCAAAGACATCTGACAAAGGCATGTTGCAACTAGCTCTATCTAAAAACTTGCTACTGTGAAAACACTTACTGAAGAAAAATATCTTGCCTTTTAAAAAACATACAGCCTCGTGCAACAGCAGCAATCAGAAGTTTTTATCACTAGATTGGTTTTATCATCTATGTTGACATGTATTAATTCCTCTAAAAATTGGGGTGGGTGTCGGGTGTCTCTGGAGGAAGCTCAAAAACCTAAGGGCTTACAAACTTTCCTGTCTAAGTACATAAGTGCTATCACCAAATATAAATCTGCATGTTTCAGCATCCTGAGGCAGTAAAATGAACTCTGGCTTGGTCAGACTTCCAGTTTTCACAGGGAGGGAGCAACATGATTCAGTCTTTAGGTTCCAAGACAAGGAATGCATCTCTCCTACAGAAAAGGAAATACTGTTGAAATGAGGAGAGCTCATTCGTGAAGTTCTGAATATGCAAGTGTTATTACTGGAAGGAAAAAAAAAAAAAAAAAAAAAGAGTCTAAATGACAGTCCTAACAGAGAGCATCACAGAAGTGTGTTTTGTGTGGTGCTTCATCAGACAAGTACTTGGCTGCTACTTTGTATTTTCATCAGTGTCTGACTGCAAACCAGCACCTCACAGCTGCTTATTAACCTGCAGATGGTAGGGGAGCACAAACCTGGAAGGCTGACGCTTGGAAAAAAAAAGGGAAGTGAATTAATTCTCTCTTCACCTGGTGTACTTACCAAGAAATTAGCAGGTATTGGATCAGAGAAGGAAGTTGGAAGAAGGGAAGCAGGTAGGCATTCCCTAATGATTAGTGCAGTGGGAAGGTCAGGAATAGACTGAGAAAGATGTATGCCTTTTGGTAAGGTAGGAAGGATATGAAAATGAAATCTACTGGAAGGAATGGGCAACAGAAGGAAGAGATCCATGTCAGCTGCTGCTCCTAGAGAGAAAAAGGAAGAAGTAGTAAAGGAAGAAAAAAAGAAAACAGAAGTAAAAAAAGGAAAAGTCCCAAGGAATATAAGAAGCAGAGAGGAAACAAGACACAAGCCATTGACACAAGGAATGTATTCCAAGAAGCTTAAAGGATAACCACAGTCACAGACCACAAGAAGGGTAATACTGAATGTCTATGACTCCTGCTAATTTAACATCAGACCAGCCCACCCAAATAGCACAAGCTGCACCTTCTGATAACTCTGAACAGCTTTGCTGCTTCTTTTAAAAGAAACCTTCCTCAAATCCAAATCCTCCTATTTGATTTACAATTCAATTTTATCACAATAATTCTGTGGATAATTAAAGAGATTGGCTCTAAGAATACGCCACAGGAGCAGCAAAAAGTACAGATGATATCTCTTGAATGTAAGAGAGACACTGAAACATGCTCCCAAGTGCTGTTGGAATTTAAGCAATTGATTAAGATGCATATACTTCCCCAAACTGTGGAATCAAATGGCCAGCCAAAGCATGTAAACTCTGAGATCCGTTATCACCAGTTTTACTTTGAGACCTGAGGTTTCTGAATCTATAAAAGCCATGGTGTGTTGCAACACAGGACATTTTAGGGAAGCAACATGCAATGTCCTGGATAAAAAGACTAAGTTATCTTATTAGAAATCCCCCATTTAACTAACTACCATCTTGGATTGAATTCCTTTTACACGTGTTAGTACTCTTTTAGGAGCTGCTGAAGCAAGATGGAGAGAGCACACTGTTTTCTATTCAGCTCATATTAGTAAAGGAGGTACAATGTAAGTATTAGTAGAGAACTGAATTCTGCTTGTGGCTGCTGTTCTGTTTCTCAGTAGGTCTGCAAAAAAAGATAGCAAAACTAGCTGGCAGCCTTATTTCTTCATCTTGGATGTACATACTGTCTGGTAGTTAGATTAAGAAAAAAAACCCAAACGTCTTCACCTATAAAAATGGGTGAACAATTATGAAAACCAGTAAATAACTACCTGTGATACCTACCTACTATATTTTTGTGCAAGTGCAATGGTATCAGAGTGGAAGTCAGGGATACAGGATATTTTAAAAAGTACTGTATAGTTACATACATGCAAAATTCATTCCATTGCTAAGTCTACACTGTGCTTGAAAAACATTTTCGTTTTAGATTTCCCACATATACAAATTACATCCATTAAATTACATCCATTACAGTCTTAACAGAGTAATATAAAATAATGTGAAACAAACCATGAGAAACTATGTGCTGCTTTACCTCAGCATTTTCACTTGCATAATAGGCCTGATTCATTTACAACAATGAGTCATTTACAATGTGACACATTTGCATACCACATACTACTTTCTGTTTCTGAAATACTTTGTAAATAGAAACAGAAGTTCTCTATCAGCATCCGCAAATTACTGCTGGCTTATTTGGAAGCATAACTACGGTGCTGAATGGACAATTTCCTGGGTTCCAGGCAAAGCAGAAGGAAGGAAGGAAGGTTGACTTAGCAGTTTTCACCCAAAAAAAAAAAAAAAAAAAAAAAAAAAAAGGTAAATAAGTTAAGAAAGCTATATATTGTTTATGTACATACAATGGCAATAATCTGATTTGCCACTTTAGTGTCGTGCTAAAACAGCATGAAACACAAAGTAAAAATGTACAGCTCTTTATCAGGGTTACATGGAATATAAACCAGTAACCCTTAGAAGTCTGCCATAAAAGCACATACATTATGTGAAGACAGGCTGGATTCCCACAACTGCTTGGATACCACTAACACATACAGCATTACACAGATACCATATTCCTGACAACAAAACTGTGTGCACTCAGTTAAGCTGTGCCCAAATACTTCTTCCCTGCCAGAATGCCAATATATAGGTTTTTAGATGACTTGGCATTTCTCAGGCAAACAGCAGGTAGTGAGGAAACCAATTAATCAAATGAGGTAACCAAAATCTGTATGACCTCCAAGGAAACTTCTCGTGCTCACCTGCCCTGCCATGCAGCTCATTTGAGACCCTGCCTTACCCAGACCCACTTCTGGCTCACAGTACAGTGCAAGGAGCAGACATTAATTTATTTTCATCCTCATGCTCAAAGCATGGCTCTAAGCCCTATTTGCTTTAAGTGAACATGGAGGACACATTCACCAGCAGTGTCACATCACCCAACACAGGCCCAATCTTCACACATTTCCAAGTTTCTTTAATAGGACAGAGCAGGATTCCCCTCCAACATATGCCAAAACCATATAAACATCCTAGAATATTGAGCATAGCAGCAAAGTTGCTTCTGATCTACAGCACACAAAGCAAAAAGCTGCCAAGGGAAGGTTTTGTTGCTGTGATGTGACAAGGGAAGAGGGCAAGAAGGTGATGTGCCTTTATTTTTTACCCCTTGCTACAAAAATCATCTGCATCATTTTGATAAGACATTCCAAAGTGATTAGGTATCAGGCAGGGACCAGATGAAACTGTTAAATCCAAAAGGTCAATGTCAATAAAAATTTTCAAACCTTTACAGTTGGAACCATTCTCAAAACGCAAGAGATCTGGCAAGATATGCTTCTCCTGTATTAAAAAGATGCTGTCTCAAAGGTGATGTTCAAAGTTTTGAAGAACCTGCTATTTAAAGCTATATTGATGAATGGCATTTGGAAAAATGAAACTCACACAGGTGCTATATTTGAATACACTACCCAGCAAGTAAATTTCAAAAAGCATTAACTGTTACTGAATTGCTTGCTTAATAAGTACTGGGGTATTAAAAAAAAATAATACAAATACAAAAGCATGAACTAAAGATTTTGCCAAAACAACCAAACCAAATGTACCAAATGTATGGCTTTTGACTTATTTCAAGGAAATAAGCATGCTTCCATTTCCTTATTAAATTAAAAAAAAAAAAAACCACACAAATAAATCTGTGTTAATATCAGTAATTTCAAAACCTTTATTCTGGAAATGTATGATTAAAAAAAATTAAATATTCCTGAGCAGAACATAGCCTCTGACCTTCTGACAATTATAACAACCTGAGTTCAACCCAGTCTCCATTAAACATGGGAACTGAATATGGACACCCAACTTACCTCTACATTACAGTGCATGAGACTTTTACTTCAGAATTCAATATATAATTCTGAAATGCTATTTTCATTCAAGTATTACATGCCTTTTTTTTTAATCTTAACCAGAAGCAGGGATGGGAGTGACAAACTTCAACTGCAGATTTAGAATACATCCTTTGATAATGAAAAAGCCATATTGTTTTCAAAGGGTTTACCTTGTTCTCTGAGAATTAGCTTGATTTGATGTGGAGATATCATCAGCACCCGATAACACACCACTGGCATCATCTCTCTTGAAAGCTTCATTTCTTCTCACTAGCAAACCAAAAGACAAATTAATACCTGACTGGGCAACAAAGCACAGAGAGTAATCCCATCTAAACCCCAAGGATTTATCAGCCACATGAGAATACTCAGAAGGAATCAAATTTATGTGTTCTGCACAATGGAACTACAGTATCAAACAAATTAACATTATGAAGTTGATTTCAGTTTTCAGAGCTATCTTATAGTTTTACCCCAACAAAAATAGCTGATAGTCCTGATACTAAGCTGATACTAAGGAATGCCTAAAAGAAGTCAAAATAAATGCCACAGAATTGCATAGACCCCTTCCCAAGGTCACATATGCTTTTTGTCAGCCATGAGTTGAGACAAACATGGCAGAGACATCATACAAAACTACTCCAGACCAGAAAGAGAGCTAACTATGCATCCAGTACCCAAAAAAAGGAGCTAAAGAAAGCAGTATCTGAACTTCTAATCATTATCCCTGGAATCTGACTCCTCATTATAATTTACAGATTTTTTTCCTTTTGGCAATACATTAATCTGCTATTCTCTTTGTAAAATTACAGCTTTTGCTGGGAGATCTTCCTGTAGCAGCACCTGAAATGCTACACTTAGAGCTTGACTTTGCACAGTACTTCACTTCCCCCTCTCACTGTACCCTCATCAAACAGAGCTGGCAGGAGAACTCTTGCAGAACACACTAAAATGACATTGATTTAGAAATAGGTTTTTTAACAGTCATTTCACTCAGCCCAGATATATGACTACTAGAAGGCAGCTCTATCTTGCCTGTACAACTTAGGAGTTGCTGTCTTTGGACTGGGACACATAAACACTGTGTTCCAAATTGCAAGCAAGCAAAGGGAAATTACAGGAGCCTCAATATTTGTTACTGCTCCTCAGGCTTCTGGCTCAGTAAGCACAAGGACAGACAATGACAAAGAAGGTTTAGATAGCAGTGAGTACATGGAGGCTGGGCTGGAATTCTGTGCATACAGAATACATATAGTGCAGCTATACTCCAGCTTCCTAACTATTGTCTTGTTTCCTAATTTTCACCAAAAGATTTGTCTCCATTTTTTATAATGATTCTGGCAAGATGATTCTTCCTGCCATACATCAGCAAAAAATCCTTCATATCATCTCCCGCTTTTTCAAGCAATTGATTTAATAGAAACTACTTAAATTTATCTTACTAACAGCCTGTACTATGTAGGACTTTAGCATTACACTGAAATCCTTGTCATATAAATTATAAACCACTTAACCCTCATAGTAAAACCCACTGATAAAATTATACCATGGAGGTCCCATACAAGGCTTTTGTAATTCACTGCTACTGTGCACTAGCATCATTTTTTTTTGCAGCATGTTATTTAAAAAAGAACACTTCTAGTAAAAAGTTAACTGTTTCCAGCTTTTCCTACCAGGTTCCATCCCAGAATGCTAAATGTCAAACTCATTTCTGAACAGACTGCAGGTTATGCTGATCTGTACATCATGTTGTAATTTCATCATCTTAGAACTTTGTATCAGGACAATTATCAAGACTCCTACTAAAGGCTTTTGATGTCTGGTTTTCATCTCAAAATTTTTTCTTTAGGTTTTTTTGTTCCTTTGGGTTTTTGGTTGGTTGGTTGGTTTTTAAACATAGGTCTTACCTTGCCTGAAATCTGGTTCTGAAGAAATAACAGATGGACTTTCACTTGAAGTACTATAAACATCGCTGTGATAAGATTTGTACCTTCTCAAAGGCTCTGAAAGTTTAAACCAAAGTATCAGAAGTAAAAACCAACAGTCATAATGTAAAAATCAAATACAAACATTTTAAATTTAAAAAAAAAATTTCAAATAATTTTAAAATGCCTGTGGCTATGGAGTCTAAAAGCAAATACCCAGGGGATGCTGGGCAGTGCCATTCTGTTCCTGTGGCCTGAGGGTTCTGTGGTCAGCATGGCCATTCTTGACTATCCCAATACAGCCACCGCCTCTGAGCTTCCCTCAACATCACTTCCCAAGTTAAAACTGGCATTAAAAAAACTCCATTGAGACCCAAGACAAAAACAGATCCCTCCTGCAAATAAACCAGGGGCAAATGTTTGGTGTGCACCTCTTTCATGTAAAAAGCAATCACCAGAATTCAGTCCCTGGTTCCTTTACGATGTGAAAAGAAAAATATCCAGAGAGATAAAGCAAGCACTGGAAAATTATAATTCAGGTCATCTTTGACATCCACAAAATATGATTAACAATCAATTAGTAAGCCCTTAGAGGATATTTAATTAACCAGAACAGCTAAACTGATGTGATGAGAAATCAATACAGCAGTCCCAGTTCCTACTCTCAGGGGATTACATAAATAACATACTGGAGCAAAGGACTCCACAGAAGGGAATATGGACTTGACATTTGCAACCATCTCCCACAACTTTCCTAAGCACAAGCCAACAACCACACACAGAATGTGCTTAAAGGAGAACACGCACACGCACGCAAAGAGTGTCTACATCTTGGGAATACCAATGCTTCACTGTCAAAGTGAGACAAAAAACCTCAGGTGTCCTTATTTGCAGAAGGCTGTTTCTGGTCTGATGATAGTTAATGTTTTTGAAAACAAAAGCAGTGAATAGAAAAAACACCTGTAACTGCTGTGAAAACAAGTGCCAGTCATTACAGCAAGCAATATTCAATACAAGAATACAAAATGGGGAACACATGAGAAGATATTTCTGGAGGCTGCAACACAGAAATCAGAAGTTTTAACTTTCCATGTCCAGAAAACAAATATGTGTGGAAAAATTCTGAGGGAACAATAAACCTGCTGACATAATAACTTCTATTAGGCCAGATGACAGGTTAGTCAACAACACTACTCATAAAGAATTCCTACAGAAATAGAAAAAATTCCAAATAGGAAAAAAGCATGAAAAGAAGTAAGATAATGCAGTACTCCAAGAACTTAAGACTAGTTCATGTTCATTTTTGACTGTTTCCAAAGCCTTCTTTAAAAGCCAGTATTTCCCCCATTTTTACCCAGCTCACTTGGGCAGTGTAGGGAATTTTTAAGAAAATTGGGAAAGGTGAGCAAAGCTGCAAATCAACTCTTGAAACCAACAGGTCTCACCTGCCCACTGCAGTTGCATATTTAGCAGGATAAAACCCAATTTATCCAAAGAACATTTTACACTACTCTCACAAAGGAGCAGTATGGACCTACAGCAAGATGAAAAGAATCCACTGGGACTGTGTGGGAGCAGTGAGGTTGCTTCAATCTTTCACAATGGCTACTTTCAACATTGTGGATTTTACAACAAAGAAATCTGCTCCCAGTCTAGCAATTGCTTGCCTACCATGGGAAATAAAACCCAGATTCAGTGGGTAGCTTTTGGAGATGTGTTTTCAAAATGATCCTAGCCCTTAAGTGAGAAATCAATCCACACACAACACTGGAGCTACAGTACTGAAATGTTTAACTAAAACCAAACCTCTTCTTTCCCAGTAGTTTTATTAGCTGTAGGTTTTTCAAACTCTGCTGAACTGACTTTGAAGCAAGATGATGGAGAGGGAACAACAAAATATGATGTGAGATTTTAAACAGCCTTATTTTTTGCCACTTAGTCAGCAGCCAGGGCTTCTCAAATTGCACACAAATTATGGCTCCATTCTGGTTCTTTGAGACATTAAATTTTGAAAAAGCCAAACCCGTGGTAAAACAGAAATATGCAGTTAAACCACGAGACAAGTGTTTGCAGGTGGTGGCATGCTATGGGACTCTGCAGGGTGTTTGATTTCTCCTGACTGATCCTGTTAGCAGGAGCTGGTGCCATGCTGTAGGCCAAGTCCATGAACCAAGAAACCAAAAGCAAGATTTCCACACACTGTTTATCTCAATGTTGTCACAGACCCCCACATAAGGCCCAACAAGGCTCAAACCCATTCACAAATAGATCTGGAGACAGGACCACACTCCTGTCTTGCCACATCCTTCTCCCTAATCAAGACCACACAACTCAACCCAAGAACACAAGCAAATGTCTTCCATCTGCTGGAAGCATTCAACAACCTTTCCATGCTGGGCTATCATGAAAGTTTCAAGGCAATTAAGAAGCTACATACTGAAATTTCATGTAAATCCTAGATTTATATCCATTTTGCTCAGTTTAGAGAAAACACATACAGAGGTAGAACTGTTTGCTGCTGGGGCATCTTCCTTCCAGCTCTCTGCTGGCCTACACAAACATCTGTGTACACATCCCCCCAGAACTGCTCCTGCCTCTTACCCAAGTGCCTTCCTTCCTGGGGCACAGACAGAATGTGCACTGCAGACCTGCTAATACTCAGTTAAAATGTAAATATTGAGAATATTCTATCTATATGCTCGCATAGTCATCCAAATAATTTATGCTCTCTCCTCCAGAGGAGTTCAATTCTCCTCAATTCTCATGTATCATATTAGGATTAACTTCAAAGAAGGCACTTGTATCATGTCCAAGTTTCCATTAAGCTTCTAATTAAGAATTGGCTTCCTAAAGTTACCAAGTCCCAGCTAAAGACTATAATAAAACAACTATCTTCCATATTTACAATTTTTCCCTGGAAATTCTGAACAGACTTGGTTTGTTGTCTTAGTTTCCTGGGTTTTTTGGTTTTGGTTTTGTTTTGGTTTTTTTTTTTTTTTTTGGTTGTTTTTTTTAAATTTTGGTGAATTAAGAGAGACTTCAGAACTGATTTAACTTCTATAAATACAAAGCACATTGTAGCAAAAATAATTGTATCACTTACCCTCAACATTTTACTGTTTAGATTACAGTCTTTTGCCAGAACACTTTAAATGATTTCATACCTTAATAGAAAAAAACCCATGAGTTTAAGCATGTTTTAAGAGTTTGTAACTAAAATGAATATATAAAATTTGTACTAAAAAGCAAAATAAGCATGTGGTAGCTCCATGATGCAAAGGTAGATGATGCATTCATTACAAGTTGGAGAGTCTTTGTGCTGCTTAGTGGTGCTTTTTCAAGTTCCCTATCAAAACCAGCAGAGCACAACCTCCCAGGCACCTCACACAGCACAAAATAACAACACACACTATTTACGCAAGGCGAGAGCTGCAAGCCCAGACAAGTCACTTACAGAGAGCCTCACCTCAGCCAACTTCAACAGAAACCAGAGAACCACATTCAGCTTGGAATTTCATTATCCTGAACACGAGTCACATCAGATACACATGTTTTCAAATACACATCATTACAGAATTATTTCTGGCGGCACAGAGAAGGCAGCAGAATTAAACCAACAGGGAGAGAGCTCTGCTTGCCCTTTGAAGTTTCCTGGTGGGTGTCTGCTACAGGACAGTGGTACTATAATGCCCCTTAAAACACATTAACTGCCCTTCAGGAGAAGCTGGGACTCACTTCTTTCCCATGAGTTAAATCAATAGATTAGTTTCATATTTGCTTTTCCTTTTCCTCTTTTCAGCTAAGAAAACTTGAACTATCTGATGCAAGCCAGCACAGGTTTAACAGGAAGGGCATCGAGATGCAGTTCAAATTCCTGGTGGGGATCCACATCCAACAACTGACAAAGGAAATTATCCCACTCAGATTTCTAGGGGAGCAGGCTCAGTTTAACTTGCACTATTTCCACCACTCACATTCTGCATGAAAAAGCTGTATTGCACATGTAATCCAAGTCACCAGCTATCCAGACAACCCCCTAGGGAGCCCCATCTGATGCAGAGGGCCTGGCAGGATCTAATCTACCTTAGATTAGATGTAATCTAATTCAGAAAAATGTAGCCTTGGAAAACTGCAAAGAACACACATCTCTAATGCTAGGCTGGAAAGGAAAACAGAGATTAACAATAACAATACCGGGGTCTGGTAGGAACTCAAGAGTCCTGTATTTAGAAAGACACTTGTTTTCTGGATCTGGACCATGCCATCTGGGATAAGGTATGTAAACTAACACAGGTCTGGACTGAGAGTTTGTCTAACAAAGTTGTTTGCCTGTTTTAATTTAAATGCTTTATCCAACTGAGAATGTAATGTATTGACCAGAAATTGACAATCTCAGATTGTGTGAGCTGCTGAAAGCTCGAGAGAGGAGATAAAACAGATGGCACTCTGTTGTGCAATTATGCAATTGTAAGAGCTGGTTTACTGCCTAAAGTTAAGCTGTGAAACTCAGCACAAAGTAGTAGCTGCTGATGTCATAGTACTTGTATTTTACAGATATCTCACAAATATCTTCTTCCTTGAAAAGCCAGCATCTCTTGTCTCAGTAAAATCAACAAGTGGAGTTCTCTTAGCAAAATAGCATCAGCCCATTACCTTACCTCTCAGATTTGTTAAAATTATTTCTGAATATTGTTCTACTGGACAGACCAACCACATGAGAATCTATTTTGTCACAAATGAATTTAAATCACACTGCAGCACCACAGAGACATGTACAAATTGCCCCTTCCTTTGCTTTCACATGCAAACAGATGTGCCATTGTACACGGCTCAGATGGCCCAAAGTGAACTCAGAAACCCAGAACATAGAATTCAAGAGAAAAAGGAAGTATGTGCACTTCAATGAATTCACAGTGCTAAGTTTGTAAAGCAACTATTCATTTTTTTCCCCCTAAATTCAATCTCCCATTTAACCCACTTCTCCAGAAGCTCCCAAATTCAAAATTCTGGGGCTTAATCTGCTGGGATAAATTTGCTACCAACAGCTGCCTGATTACCTGCAGAAATTTTCCGTTATTCAAAAATGCACCTTCAAACTAAGAGAACATCTAAAATCCAGGCATTTAGAGTATCCCTAACTGTAACCTTTAACTGCAACCTTCCCAGCTAAACACAGGCTGTCATAATGTGTAAATTTCATTAATAGGGTCTAAATGAGTCTTCAAGGCAGCTAATGAGTACAGTATCATGAGATAAACGCGTGGAAGAAGACTTAGGAGGAAAAGACTCCTGTCTAGAAATACAGACTATTACTGCTGACTCTATGAAGCAAGAGCAATAATTGGACAAAATCCATAAAATCTGAGGACTTAATAATCTGAGTTTCCTGTTGGGAAAAACAATAAAGGTGGAAAGAGAAAGGAATAAACACAACTTGTGGGTCGGGAATTCACATGGTTCCCAACTGCAAAAACATTCAACAAAGGTTTGAGAATATTCCCAAACCACCCCCATTTCCCCACCCCTGGATTCAGCATTCCAGAGCTTCAGCAAGATCAACTTTTTCAGTATCCTCCCATCTTTTTTTGCCTTGTCTGCTATTTCAACCCACAGCCAGCTATATTACTACTCTCATTACTGGTTTTGTCCTCCTGTATTCCACAAGGACATGGGCAAGCTTTATGCTCCCTCATGCATCTCACTTACAACATCCTCATAAACAATACTAAATTAAAAAAAATTATTAAAAGGATACTTATTCACTCAAGTAACACATAAACCCTTTCACTTTGAATTATGCATTCACACAAAAGAGTGGGGGGAGGAGCTGCCTAAGCAAAAGGAGAGGGTCAGACAAGGCTACCATTACCATGTCACAGCTTGTACCTTGCTACTGAGCCATTTGAAGGCAGGCCTGGGATAACTTGAGGTAACTGGAAAACTTGAGTGTGTGTACACTTCACAAGTGTCAGGAGATACAATCAGTTTGGTGGGAGAGAAGGTGAAAAAACCTGGAGCACAGGAGAACAGATGACATCTTCACACTCATAAGCTGCAATGCAAGCTTGCAAAATGTAAAATAATATTATTTTCTCGGTGAAAGAAATGGCACACTTTCAGCAGGTGCCAGGCAGCAATTTCTAAGTTTCAAAAGAACACTGAAAACAAAACCTGCTATGTTGGTACAGATAAGATGTTTGGGTTTAACACCCAACAACTTTTTAACTCTAATCAATTCTAAGGTCACAACACCTCCATAACAAAACAAGAATGAAGAAAAGGGCAAAGATGAAGAACTTACTGTCTTGATAAAATTAACACCTATTTTTGGAGTCTCTTATTAGTGATCAGAATTGGCTACAACATAAGTCAAATAGCAGACTCTTGCCCTTGCTGGCTAAATGGCACCTAATCATAAACAATCATCTTCAGGATAGAAGAGATAAACAACCTCAGCCCTGAAACTGTACAGCAGATTAACATAAACCAGCAAGTTCAAGAGCAAGGCAATCACAAGGACACAGCCCTTGGAAGCCTTTTGAAGCTAAATCTGAGATGTTCTAACAGTGTATTATAGTGCACTTTAGTTGGTCTGCAGCTCACTACAAAGTACTACAGCACAGCTGTAATTAAAGCTCTTTCATTCTTTCCACTATAAACTCTGCTTTTCATGAGTTTATAATTTAGATTGTAAAAATTGTTCTGAGTGAAAGCTTAGCAAACCAGAGCTTGTGCATAAGAACATTTTCTTTTTCCAAGGTAGTCAGTTCCTTAAGGTTTTATGAATAACAGAAAAGTTTTCCAGCTTAACCCAAAGTAAGTTAAAGAAAAATAAGACATATATCACTTAAATTCCTTTGTAGTTTGAGGAGGGAAGTTTTATCTCACCAAGTTCAACTCACAGAGAGTCCAATGTCGCTTCGCAATTCAAAAATGGAAAAACAATGTATACAGCCAAAAGCAGAGGCTTAATACAATTTACACAGGCTTAGCTGTAACCTAGACCTGTGCTCAACTGAACTGAAAATATCCCCAGATCTACCAAAGAGAAAGCAGATTGTGTCTCCTCTGCTACCCAACCATAACCCTGTTTCCTGTGACTCCTTGCCCATTCCTCGCCCCTCCAAACTGAACTGAACCTTTATTCCAAACTGCATGAACTTCTGAAGTACGTTATTCTCCTTCTCTATTTTTCTCTCATACCTCTCAGCTGCACTGGTCAGAAGAGTAATTCCATACACACTTGATGCTTGAAAGTGTTGGATATGGAAATATCTGTCTACCTACTATGTACTTCAAAATGACATACAACAGTAATGCACAAAAAACTCAGGACTGTATTTTTAATTTCTTTGACAGATGAAACTGGCAATAGACTTTTTGCAAAAGATCGCAAGGAACATGTCTGGTGTAAAAAAATGTAAGATGAGGAACAATAAAACATATGGAATAAAAAAAGGAAAAGGGAATGAAGTCTTAACAGACTAGCAGACTTTATATATTAAGACTTTTGTGAATCTCCTCATTAAGGCAGAATAGATACTTCCAGTGAGGCTTCTCAAGCCCTATAAGACATAACAGCAACTAACTTCTATGTGAAAAAGCACTCATCATCCATCTTACTAGAATACTCCTTTATAACTGGCTCATTAAAAATCCATATTCACAACTTGTTTCTGGTTCAAAACATTTTCTTTAAGTAGTTTACTGACAAAATAAATTGAACAATTGAGACCCTAAAATATAACAGTAGAACACACACTCTCACCTTCAAGAGCGAAACACACCTTCCTTGAAAATAGAAAACTCTGAAACCCAGCAACCTGTTGAGAAAGTGTCTTTACTTTTTTCCTAGCAAGTAATTCAGAAGGATGGGCAGTGAGTCATTGGCTATTGCCTCAGTCTTCCCTATATGTGTTTGTCACTGCCTCTGTGACTATTGAGGCCCAGTCCCCAGTTTACTTTGACTGCACTTTCACCCATTCCCCTTAGGAATAGAGTAGTTTCACACATATGACCTATCTCAGTTTGCAAGGCACGGGCATGTTTTGTTTTCTGCCATCTCCCAATCTGCTTGAATAAGAATGATAAACCCATTGCTCATCAATGGGTTTGGCCATGCTTTTGGTTTTACTCTTATGCAACACCAACCTGCACAAAGCTGCACTCCTGAACAACAAGGCTATCGAGCTTTCCCAGTGCTGGGAGTGGCCTCCTCTTAAACCCTGTCAGCTGCCTATCTCCAGCAATCCCAGCTGACTCACATACTTGAGATGGACCCTGTTGATTTCAGACTCTTAAACCAAAAGCCAACCAAACTTCCCTGTACCTTATCAGACATCCTGCTAGATAACAACAGATAATAAACTTCTATAGAGATAAACAATGGTAACTCCACAGTGCTGCTTTCACCAATGTTCATTTCTTCACATGATAACGTGACCCTCATCCCCTCATCAGAAGATGCTGATCTGAGATCTGATAGCACAAGAGAACTCCAGCTGTACTGAAATCACAGCAGCTTTTTAACCTGCCTATGCCATTTCAGTAACACTCCTTTCTGGAACAAAAGGCTCACATGCACAGGAAAGGATCCAGCTTCCCATGCTAATTGCAATACAAGCATGTCCCAAGATGGCTACGAAGGGCATGAGCTGGCATTTTCAGAAACGCAACCTTGACAAAAGGCTTTATCATCTCTGCTTAATATGAAGGCGTTTACATCCCTGGCAGAAGAAGGACGTAAAGGTAGGGTGTGTTTGCCCAGTTACTTCTGTCACACAACAGGCAGGCTAACTCACAAGTCTGAGGGCACCTGAGTAAATGCCTGAGCTCTGTACATACAGCTCTTGTACCATACACCTTGGATGATCAAGCGATGCTGTCTGGCCCAGCACAAGCAGGATCCAGCTCTGCTCTCAGTTTCTATCCAACTGTCTCAAACTTACAGGCCCTGAAAATCACCCCACAAAACCAAAGAAAACAAAACATGCAGTTCCACTTACACTGCTTTGCATCAAGGTCATTTTATAACTTTCCCCACAACAATTACAAAGACTTGTTTTTCCCCCATGCATTTTCTTAATGAACTCATGGAACTTGTGTGAAGTATTCTTACTGAAGATCTGAACACAAGGCCAAAATAAATTTCATATTTACAGGCTTAAGTCCAGAGTTATATATCACAAAAACAGAGATCTGGAGATGAAATTCTGCCTTTCCTCAGGGGCATAAATCCATCTCTAATAGCTGGAGATGAGAATCTTCTTTCTAGAAAAATGCTTGACAATTGGCTGTTACCAGCTTTTATTTCCTAATTGTAATTGATGAGCTTGATAGTGGTTAAAGATCAACTATTCTGCGTGAGCAATCTGGACAGCTACATTTGTCTTCGTTGGCAACAGATGCTCTAACAACTTCATTTTATGTAAAAAAAAGTTGAAGCAAAGACCTCAGCTGTTTCAAGAGCTGCTACAAGGGAACTCAGATTTATCCTAATGAGAAATCTTTGTTTGATGACTGGAATACTGAGAAAATCAAAAAGCTTCACTAACCTTCTACATTCATAGCTTCCCTCAGAAGCTGCAACTTCTTCTGTCTCTCTCTTATCCTGTCAAAGGCACTTGATATTGCTGCAGAAGTTGATGTCTCAGGAATGTGGCGTGTTTGGTCCAGTTTTTGTGGTCCAAAGACATCCAGTGCTATGCTCCCGTCAGAATATCTTTCTTCCTTGTTCCTGGCGGTAGTAGAAGTCCGTACTGTAAATGTTTCACACTGATGGCTGTGCCTGTGAGGGCCTCCAGCATGGTCCCTCTCAGCTGCCTTGTCAGTAGTGCAAAGCAAATCTGTGGAAGAAGCCCATATTTTCCGTTTGGGAGGGACATCTGTGTGAAGGTGACCTTTTTTCTGAAGCTCACTGGTTTTACACCTATGAGGACAGAAAACATCTTCCTGACCCGAACAGTAATCTGCAGAAATGCCCTGGAAAAATTCTTCCTCATCTCGTGTTCCTCTAATGGACAGAAATCCCATAGACTTGCTAAGTCCTTTGTTAAGGGTGGTCTGTCGAGAGAAGTGAGCTCTGGGTCCATCAGGGGCATCAACCGTCAATGTTTTTCCTGGAATAAGGAGACATTTCATACATGTAATTTTCTACCTAATACACAAATTAGTTAAAGTGTATGATGAACACAGGCTTGGACATTGGTTTTACCACGCAAAGAAGGCTTTGAGAAGGCTGCTCCAAGGGCTCCCTCAGTCAACAAAGACAGAAATACAACTACTACAAATACACGATGACCATTTTATGTCTTTTATTTCTAAAAAGCTCAAGAAAAAATTAGGACTACTATAATTCTATATTAACAGTTAAAACTCCCAAAGTATCACATACTTGCTGAAAGTTGTTTTCTCATTAGTTTCATTTTCAAAATAGCCTGGACTATCACCAAAAATACTACTTACTAATCAATCTGAAATCAGCCATTCCTCTCACACCCAAATACACCACCTACAGGTTTTAATAACAAGTCCAGGTTTGTTCTACAGATTTACAGATGCCCTGCAATAGAGTCAGCAGTAAGAAAAGAATGATTGTGTACTTAGGAATTATAAAAATCCTAGATCTTCCTCCAATTACTAATTTTGGTGACTATAGTCTCTCCTGGTAAAGAATACTCTGAAACAAAATTAACAAAGCTTCCAACGTTAAAATGATTCTCTGAGTCTGCACCCTTTGAGCTTCACTAATACATGGATCTGCCAATACTTAGGAAGTTTCTCTTCTCCCTCTCCTTTCTCATGAAATTACTTCCAGAAGAAAACAAACTGCCAGAAGTCAAACAATGAATGAAATATGTGGTCTCTGAAGGATATCATATAATGGTGACCATGAAGTTTTGACTCAGGTAGAGTCAGCATGGCATGTGACTGATGCCGTCCTTAGAGCTAGCTCCATCTTTATTGTGATATTCCCATGTACATTCTTTAAGAAGGAGCAGCCTTGACGATTTCACTGCAAAAGCAAGCAGTCATGAGTTCAAAGTAATCACTGTGCTGTAACTACGACTCTTAAAAGAATGTTACACAGTCCTGCCTGCATCGATTGAAATTAAATGCCCCACTTGCACAGCAGGCTCCTGATGATCTTTATCTACAGTGTTATCCTTCCAAAGAGAATTTCACAGAATGATTTAGGGATGTTTGGAAATGTATTCACTAATGCTTTAAAGACTTAAAAAGGCTTTTAAAGGTGTAAACACCTTTCAACTCTGATACTCTTCTTAAAGAAGGGCTGTGCTTTTAGCTTGTAGTTTTAATTTCTGTGATATTTAACTAACAATCAAAACCAGCAAGACTGAAGCCAAATGCAACCAAATAGCCCCTTGCTTCCTACCACCATGCAAATACATGATGATAAAATGTTAGGGCTTGGATTGTCTAAAAGGTGTCATGTAAGACATCAAACACAATTCCCACATGATCTAGCCAAGAAAATAAAAAATACTTTTGCCAGTGAGAACAAGCTAATCTTCTAAAAGGATCTGATGCCTCATTTCATATTTTAGAAAGATAGCTTTAATATTAAACTAAACATAATTTTCCTTGTGGTCAAGTAAATATTACATTATTACCTTATTCTCAGACTATACATCATCCTAAGGCTGGTGAACTACATATAATATTCACACACAAAAAAGCCTTTTAAAAATAATGCTCATTGTGAAGTTCCCACTATCCATCTAAAGGGATGACATCCACTCCGCAAACACATACTTCACATTCATGTACATGCACCAAGGACAAACACTCCTAAACAGGATTTTAACTCAGTTATTTGTGAGACAAAAAACGAAACACTGCAGTTGGCTTTTTAAGATGGCCAACAGAAATGCATATCAAAAGGAGCTCTGAGAATCCTCCCCAGTAATGAGAGTTCCAGGATAATTGTAGGCCGGAAAAAAAGAAAACAACCTCCTCTACACACTGTAAAAAAACGCCAAACATGCACTTCTTTAACGCTGAGATCATTTACATGCAGGGTCCTTACTGAACAAAACAAAGGCAAACAAAGCAGAAAAATACCCAAGAGAAGCAGACAGCTGCAACTCCCATACACTACCACAGCCATGCACACAGGATTACTTGGTATAGCATCGCTCATGACTCAGAAGAACATTCCTGCTTTAAAAGATCATTTAGGTCTTCGCACACTGATCTCGTTGCAGGATCACATGCAATGAAAAGAGCCACAAGGCACTTTTAGCACCTGTGGGTATCCCTCTCCACAGCACTCCAGAGACACAACCCTCTCTTGCTGTGTGCTGGTGAGAACTGCAGGGAAAGAGAGTGTCAGTCTAAGAGAGTGCTGGGGGCAAGGAGCATCCTCCTCACCAAAGCTGTGCTTCCCATGGACTTGGATATACCAGAAGGTATTTCCTGCTTGCACAGAAGCACTGAAGACACAAGCTCCTTTGCCTCAGCACACAAGAGATGCTTTCTACTCCCCACTGGGCCTCCCCTAATAGCAAGTGAAGGCTATGAGCACTGTCTCATGCGAAGTACTCATGGCTGCAGCTTTGCCACTCAGTCAGCCAACTGCATGATGAGACAGGAGATGAGCTGTCCTGTCAGGAAGCAGTGCGGAGGTGCTCCACTCCCATGCTACAGCTCTAACTCAGATCCACACGGACTTCAGCAGTCAGCAAGAGATTTTTACATAGTACCAAAATGAGCTACAGCTGGCCTCAGTATTCAGGCTTGAGACTGAAAAATTCTCTTGGAAGTCTTTCATCTGTCTTTTATTACTTTTCCCATTCCCACTTCAGCTTTTCATCAGCCCTGCCAATTCTTCCCACCTCTGCAAAACCCTCCCTTCTCTACCTGACATTATTTCAGTGAGCTCTGTCCAAACTGACTGACAGTGCCAACATGAGCTGGTTAAAAATCATCCCAAGAGAAGTGGAAAAAATGAGACTTTGGGGCAAGGAGTGCACAGCCTGGGTATCTTGAGAGGACAAACTAAAACAAAACAGCAATAGAGAACTTTCAGACCTGTACTTTATCCCAGCCAAAACTGCATGCTGCTTTTAGCACCAGAGCACAGAGGCCAAGGATCAAGGGCAAGGCTTCTCAATACAGAAGTAACTCAAGTACAAATACCAGTAAGAAAATTGGATTAGCAACCAGCAATCAGTCCAAGCCAATATTTCTGGTTTTAATAACATAAATCTTTCCTCATTCCTGCTTCCTTTTTTGAAGTACTATTATAGACTTTGTAAGTCACAGTATCAACTGTTAAGGTATTTTCACTTTTTTAATCCTGGACTTCCTCCATTACCTCAGCATTACTTGGACCAAGAGTCTTAAATGACTGCAGGAAATCTCTTTCAGCACAAGGCTCATGTATCCAGCTTCCAGAAAACAATACACCTCCAAAGAGAACAAACTGGAATAATATTCCTTCTTAAACACATGGACTTTATGTTGAATGGCGTGCTCAAATCCAAATTCATTAAGTCAATATGTGGTTTATTCTTCAGCTTTCCCCCCCCTCAGCTTTTATAATGAAATGTGTGGAAAAATAAAGGAAAGCACCACCAGCAAAAATCTATATATAAGGAATAAATATCTAACTAATGATAAAAAGAAACCTGCATAAGGGAACTTTTATGTCTTTATAATGCAAGACTCATGCTACGACCTTCCTCTTTTAAAAAAAAGCTTGTATTTATAATGGAAACTCTGGAGACCTATCCCAAGTATCTTGGCTCGACTGAAGACATTAATTACACCACCTGAGACCACGCAAAGCTACTCCAGGCTTCAGCTACCCAGGTGTGTAACAGGACAGGGCAGTGCCTCCCTGTTTGTCAGTGAGGGTGACAGAACAAACTGTTAGCAATTAACATGCTGCAGAATGTAAACAGCTTCAAAAGAAATACTTTCCCGTTCCCCAGTTACTTCTCTGTTGCACTAAACTCTCCTCCTTGCTAATCTGAAGAGTGTATGGGTTCTTGATTCCTCATATCGCCCTTGGGTGTTTATCCTCCACTTGATGTTACATTAGTGCAATTATTTATAATTACTGTAAATAATTCAAATGCAATTACAGTAACTGTGTGATTCCAGTGTATAATATATAGTGAGGGAATATATACAATAAAAATAGCAATTAATCACCAGGAGTTCATGATTAAATTCCCTTGTGGTGCTAAAATGAAACTCTAGTTTTCCACACACATCTTCAATTGCCAGATGTTACACTGGCTAAATAAACAGATCTGCTTCCTTCTTCCTTTGGCGCTTTCAGCTATGAATGCAACTACACCCTCTTTTACACACACCAGTGTCATTCACAGACCATCTTTCACTCAAACTGACAGTAATCTGGTTGTTTTTTCTCTGAGCAAGAGCTGTTGTCTAACTAAATTCAGTCTGTCTGTGATTACTTGTGTACCAGCTTGATCACACAGACATTTATTCCAATATTAATTAAGTGCAAACATCATCACATACTGTGATGCCTCAATGCAACTCAATTTTCTTTCAAGCCTTCCTGCCTGCCCCTTCCTTTTGTTTGCACAAAACAGAACATCTTTTCAACTCTATTATGGATTTTGACTTGTGGATGTTTGTAGATGCACACATATGGGACCGGGGGTGGTTAGGAAGAGAGAGGGGCTGGGGGGAGCAGGGGAAGACTGCCCACGTGTGCATGAGAACACACACCATCACTGCCAGATTGGGAGGTCTCAGGAGAGGAAATTATTATACATGGTTTAAAAAACATCTCCCACGCCATCTTTGTGCAGAAAACAAAGCAGTAGAAAAAAAATTCTTCCTCCCCAGACAATGTGGTTAGTTTCTAAAATACGAGTGGGTAGGTGATGGAGGAGTTGGGTTTGCAATCCCTTCGGGGCAGGATAAAAGCCAAACATAAGACAACAGACCCAGATGAAGCCTGTAGGTTGACTGCTAGAAATGGCACCCCCTCTTTTCTTTTCTAAATTTTTGAGAAAAATCCAAGTTTCAGATGGAAATACTCCTAAACAATGTATTCTCTGTGAAGGAAGAATTGAACTGGACACAAGGACTGTTGAAAGCACTTTATGTAATG